GCAGAGGCGGTGGGCTTGAGAACGGCGCGGCCGGCGGATTCGACGATGGAGCGTCTGGAGGGCTTGCAGCAACCACATGTGGCGACTCCGGGCTGGACTCCGCTTCGTCCACAGTGAAAGCCGATCCGGCGAGCCACAGCGCGAAGTTGAAGTATTTCCTCAGCGACCAGCATGGATCAGGAAAAATTGAAATCGCATCATATGACCCCTTTAATAAAACATTAAAATAACTGTTAATGTTGTAAAATTTGTCAGTTATGAAATGAATTCAATTTCATTTAAACGCAGCTTTAAAGAAGATATAGTGTCAATATTCCACTTAATTCAGTTTAAGAAAGGTAAAAAGTAAAAAAAAAAAAGTTTAGGGTCAGTTTTTTTTAGGGAAATTGTTTTTTTTATTCATCAGGGATGCGTTAAATTGTTTAAAAATGACAGTAAAGACATTTATAATGTTACAAAAGATTTCTGTTTCAATTAAATGCTGTTATTTTAAACTTTCTATTCATAGAAATACAATGTATCACAGTTTCCACAAAAATATTCGGTAACATGACTGTTTTCTACATTGATGATAATCAGAAATGTTTCTTGAGCAGCAAATCCACATATCAGAATGATTTGTGAAGGATCATGTGACACTGAAGACTGGAGTAATGATGCTGAAAATACAGCTTTGATCCCAGGAATAAATTACTTATTTAATTTAATAAAGATTTTATTTAAAATCTGTACAAATAGAAAACACAGATTTTAAAAAGTAATAATATTTCAATCTTTTTTGCTGATTTTACTGTATTTTTAATCAAATAAATGCAGCCTTTCTTACCAACCCCAAACTTGTTAAAGGTAGTAAACACAGCAAAATCTTCCCATGGTAGTCATTTCTATAAATAACACAGATCTTAGAGGGTCGAAGTCTACTGTAATGACACATTTGCATTTCCTCTCCTCTTTATGTGTCATCTACTAAAATACAAACTGCAGTACATCATGCTCACACCCATAATACCACAAACCATTCTTTACCGAGTATTTCCAAACATTGCATTTTACTGCGCTATACATCTGTGTTTATGGTCTTGCTTTAGGGACAGTTTCCTTTCACTTTTCCTTTGTCTTATTGTAATGTGAAGAGTTGCTCTTAACTTATCTTGACACATTGCAGCTTCAGATGCCTTAGACGACCTTTAATTAGTGCCCTAAAATGTGATTAGGTGGTTGCTCTCTGCAGATCAGATGAGGATGTCTCAGAGAGAAGAGTGAGGACTGAAGAAGGCATTAGAAGAGTAATGTTGCAGCACAATGAGCCTAAAACTGCTGATGTTTCGCTAAAATCATGCATCCACCGCTTCTACGGGCGACTTTGACCATTACATTTTAAATAGTTCATAGTTTTTGCTTGTTTTTCATTATAGAATAGTTCTAGACTTTGTCTAGCTGGGCTTTTTATTGCAAGAGACTTGCGTAAATGGCCTTAAGAATTGTCAGATTATGGTCAGCTAATAATAAAGCCAGCCGAATTCAGACTCACTCACTATTGCATTTTGAATTGACATAGTTTTGCTTTAATGGATGTTATGTTTGTTACAGTTGAAGTACGTTTTTTAATTAATGTTTCTTTCACATATTCCATTTAATGTGTAGAGACAACAAAAATTAGATAAATAAATTAGTATCAAATTAGCAAGTGCTCCCTGTGGTTTTCTGCAAAATGAATGCTTAGTGGTTTAATGTTTGAAAATAAAAAAATGAAAACAATTATTAGCATTGTAATTTTACCATTGTACTGTAAAATCAAATATGAAATTTTTTCTTAAATACTTGGATTTTAATTTTACTATGAAATATTGAAATTTTAATATTTCTTATTTTGTTAATATTTTTATTTAGTAGTAGTAGTAGTAGTAGTAATAACAACAAAAACAATAATAATAATAATAATAATAGTAATAATAATAATAACAATTATATATTATTATTATTGCTGTTGTTGTATATTCATATTTATGTATAATTCCTTTTTTTGCCTTTAATTTAATTTAACAATTAAAGGGGTCATAGGTGATGCTCCTAAAAAGAACATTATTTTGTGTATTTGGTGTAATGAAATGTGTTTATGCGGTTTAAAGTTAAAAAAACAAGTTGTTGAGACAGCATGCACAGTACCCCTTTTTTTTTTTACGCTTTGTTTCTTTATTTTGTGTTGTGTTTGTATTTCTCAGCAAAATATTATAAAAGTCTGCATAAGATTAAACCGTTCTTGAAGTAATTGGAAACAGAAAAGAACAATGAATATACTATAAGTCATTTAGTGCAAAGCTATTATATTAATGTTTTTTTGTTTTGTTTTTTGCTGTTGATGATAATAATCAATATACAGTATACAGCTCTATATTTATGTATTTTCCAAAAGGATTTTATTTATTTCTTGATCGATTGCGTCATTTATTTACAGTTTATTTATTATTATATTTAGTTGTCTGACCTTTGAGTTTGAAGATATTCAAAATACATTAGTTATGTATTTGCTCAAAGGGTTTTATTTATTTATTTTTTTTAAATATATGTTTTTTTTTCCAAGATGTTCAGCATACATTACCATATGTATGCATTTTCTAAAAGTGTTTTGTTTTGTTTAGTTTTTTGTTTTGTTTTGTTTTGTTTTTGGGGCTGATCAGAGGACATAATCAAAACAAAGTCCCAGAGGTGCCCGGATCAGAAACACACACTTCACAAGTGCTTGTCCCATTAATTGAGTCCCATTAGTTAATGAATAACCACTACACTCTCAGAAAAAAAATGTACGAAGCTGTCACTGGAGCGGTACACTAAGTACTTCTTTGTACCATATTTACCCCTAAATGATACATATTAGTACTTTAAAAGTGTATATTAGTACCTTTTGAAAAGTCAAGTTACGCCTTATCAGTTTATGCATTCCCTGGGAATCAAACCCATGACTTTGGTGCTCTGCTGGAATGCTCTGCTGAAATGCCTTTTCCCATCAAAATGTGCACATCTGAGAATTGTAATTTTATTATTTTTCAGTAGAGCTTAAATCATTTTACATAACATTGGGAATCAAACCCATGACCATGGCATTGTAAGCACTGTGCTCCACTGTTTGAGCTTTTTGAACCTTTTTCATTAAAATATGCATATCTTGGCATTGCAATCAAATTAGTTTTCAGTAGAGCTTAAATCCTTTTATTTCCATTTCCATTTGTGTATTTGCCAAACACTTTTATGCAAAGCAACATGCATTGCAATAAAAGTATGCTTTATCAGTTCATAATTTCCTGGGAATCAAATCTATGACTATGGCATTGCTTGAACCATGCTCTGCTGTTTGAGCTACAGGAATGCCTTGCGTATAAAAATTTGCATATTTTGGTATTGTTGTTATTTTGTATATATTTACATATTTACATTACATTCGGATTCGAACCCATGATCTTGGCATTGCTAGTGCTCTGCTCTACTGTTTGAGCTTTTTTAAACTTTTTTCCCAAAAAGTGTGCATATCTTGGTAATTTTATTATTTTTCAGTAGAGCGTAAATCCTTTTACTTTATATTTAAATGTATGCATTTGGCACACTTTTATGTGGAGCGACTTACATTACATTCAAGGTACTCTTTATCAGTTCATGCAATCCCTGGGAATAAAACCCATGACCTTGGCATTGCTAGCACCATTCTCTACTCTCACCGTGCTTTACTGTTTGAGCCACAGGAATGCCTTTTCTATTAAAATATGTATACCTTGTAGCATTAATCCTTTTACATTTGCATTTGTGTATTTGGCTGACACTATCATGCAAAGCGACGTACATTGCATTCAAGGTATGCTTTTTCAGTTCAGGAATCAAACCCATGATATTGGCATTGCTAGCACCATGCTCTACTCTTTGAGCTTTTTGAGCCTTTTCCATAAAAATGTGCATATTTGGGTACTGTAATTTAAAAATGTTATTGCGCTGAGCACTTTTCCACCTTATCAAAGATATTAGGCTCACAATCGCAAACTCAAAGCATTAAAAGCGCCAAAGAATATAAAAGATGTGGCGTTGTGTTGAGATGCCTTCATTAAATATGCATTTCCGTGGCTGATACTTAAGCCCCCTGTAGGGAATACCCCACTCTGTTCAAAGCAATTTATTAGCCCAATGCAGAATTTGTTAAACACACTCAACCATCTTTCTCCATCTTCAAGGGCCATTTGTAACCACACTACTATTGCCATTTCAAAGCCTCTGCCAAGACTGGATTAGACAGAGAGGCGAAAGACGAGTCCAGTGGCGCGGTGTTGTGAGCTCCTCGCTCAGTTCTTCTATTGATTTTGGCTATCGATGTTGTGCTGCTTAGCATGGCTGGCAGTAAAGCTGAATTAGAATCAGTTATTGTTCTCAGCAGTAGAAGGAAGATGGGAGAGAATCTGTCTTGTGTTCTTAATTTCATGCAAACTTGATGAATCAAATTGTATCAGACCCCAAAACAACTCTGATCTCTAATGAATACGGCTCTGTCATGTAGACATAATTTCTGAATCCAGATGTAAATCTGACGTAAACAGAAAGTTAGATGTTAAGATTAACATTTTGATGGTTTGTGCAATTTTGTCCATCCTTTTATGGTTTTGGCATTTGAATTTGAACATAGATGGTTATAAAAAAAACTACTTTTGGTTTCAAAGAATATAGTAGTTCACCCAGAAGTGATTCATCATAATGTTATTCCAAATCCAAATGACAAAAGTAGTAGTTTTACAGCATCACTGTAGTAGTTTTTGACATCAATGTCACCAAATGGCTTTGGTTTTAAATCAGAATATACAGAAGCAGGAATGAGAGCCACAGTGGAAGGCAGTGATATTTTAATATTATTATACTATTATAGTATTTATTAATATTTTGAATTAGCAGTTATTTTAGTATTCTCAGTTTTCATTTTAATTGTAGTTTTAATAATTTTGTTACATGTTTTTGTAATTTTTATACAGTACATTTTTGTATGTATATGTAAAATACATGTAAAAAAAAAAAACATGTAAAAACAAGAACTGAAATAAAAATAAAGTGAAAAAAATTAAATTTATTTTTATTTCAGTTCTTATTTTTCATTTTAGTACTTCAATTTCATTTTTTTAATGATGTCAAAAGATGTGGAATATAGTACACAAGTCATAATTCACTTTAAATGTTTTTCTCCATTTATGGAGCTTCTGATCTGTTCTCTATGAAATTGCATTGTATTGTGAAGAGCAGTGGGCACATTGTTCAAAATATCTCCTGTTATGTTTCAGAAAGTCATACAGGTTTGAAATGAGATGAGAGTGAATAAATGATTCTCTTTTTGGGTGAACTTTTCCTTTAAGAGAAGAAGTCATATCAGCAATGGCAAAGCAAGATTCATGCCAGCTTTGTAAAACCTCTTCCTTCCTTTCACAGGTTGCAGGAGTGATCCACTCTAGTTTGATTTATAATGTCTGGTTCCTCCTCGACACAAATCTGGGATGGTTTTAATCTAGGCTTTCATTTATCCTGCCTGTTCCTTCTGCCGGGTCTGATATATCTGTGATTTATAATACCTGCTCTGTGTTCTCTCAGGTCGAAGCTGGGTCTGTTCCAGTCCCGGATAAGTTTACAGAAGGCCAGTGTGAAGGTAAACACCACCGTCTGTCTCTCTGAATTATACAGTGTTGGAATGACTTGACAATGTGTAAATGATGACAAAATTGTAATTTATAGATGGACTGTCCCTTTAAATGGATGTTCCAGAGGCTTGTGTTTTGCACTTCTTGAAGTTTTGGACCTTATTTGTGTGTTTCAGTTGAAAGCCAAGAGGAGCGATTGTAACTCCAAAGCAACCCACGCGAGGAACGAGTATCTTCTCACATTGGCGGCTGCCAACGCACATCACGACCGCTACTACCAGACCGACCTGGTCAACTGCATCAAGGTGAGCACCATGATCAGCGATGCAGTGTTATTTTAGTATTTATATACTATTATAGTATTTACTTGTTTATTTTTTTATAATATGTATTAATATTTTTTTCTTAATTTTGTTACATGCTTTTGTCATTTTTAATAGTTTTTTATTTATTTATTATTTCTATTTAGGTATGATTTTTTTATTTCAGTTGTAGTTTTATTAATTTTAGTACTTCAGCTTAAATGTATTTATTTCAGTTGTTTAAGTTTTTCATCTAATATTTATATTGTATACTATTTCAGTTTGATTTCAAACACCGAAAATGATTTTTTAAAATAGTTTGTTAATGATAACAACACTGCTGCGATGACCTCTGAACCTAGCATCATAAATGCATGAAAGTAATTGTTTATTAAAGCCCTTCATTAATTCTTCAGTTTAAAAAAAAAACTTGCGTTGATGTTGTCTAAATTGTCATTTTAAGGACTTTCATGGTGGATGAACTTCTGCATTAACAGTGCTTGACTTCATTTTACTGAATATTAGAATATTGATTTTCATGATTTCTGATTTGTTGGTTATGTATTTACATGAGTCATGTGTGTTGGCATGAATCTAGTACAGTGGGTCAGACAATGATGTAATCTATGGGCAGATCAAACTATGTACTTCCTGTGTAGATTTCCTCACAGGAAAAAGCTCCCTTGCAGAGAGAAATAGCTGTATGCTTTTTTTCTCTGCTCTTTTACTGGATAAGAGCGGTCTAGTCTTATGTCACTGAGTGTGTTTGCATGCAATAAGTTGTAAAAACTACTTTACCGCCATTCTGGTGTGTGCATTTGTGTTTGTGTTTTAAAAACTGAGAAAAGTGATTAAATCTCCTCAGGTATTTGTAATAAGCTGATTTGTGGTAGTTATCGTGTATCATGCTGTGCATGTAAACACACTGGCTGACTAGAGACGGTATTCCGCTTGCTTTCTTGTGCAGATGTTAAATGCTTGTAATGGCTGATTATGTAACTGAATGTTTGGTGTTTGTGGTCCAGCATATCTGGCTGTGTGTGTAATAGACAGAAGTTGGCTAGAACATCGAAACAAGTATGTGTTCACAGCGCCTCCATGCACATGGGACTTTATATTTTAGTGACTATCAGGGTTATTATAGTTAACTAAACTAAAACTAAAACCAGAAAAAAATAATTTCTCATCTTGGAAATTAAAAAAAAAAATGTTAACTGAAATAAAAGAAAATATATATATTAAGTATAATAAGTGTGTGTGTGTGTGTTATACATATATATATAATTATTTTTCTCAGCTAGTTGGCAACATTTCTCATTTTCTCATTTAGTTTAACTTAATGTACTAAAATAACTCAAATTAAAACTGAAATGAAAATAATAATATATAGACATATACAAAAAAAATCTAAATAAAAATTACAGAAACACACAACAAATTACTAAAACTTTAACAAAAAAATATAAAAATAAAAACTAATTCAAAATATGAAGAAAAAAAAAATTATAATAGTATCTTGATGAGCTCTTTTCCTTGCACATTTTTTCCTCATAAGTGTTTCCAGGTTCATTTCGCCATGTGTCTGTGGCAGTTGCTCAGTAGCGCCCCCTGCTTTTTTTACAAAGAAAGCACATAAAAAAAAAACTGATTCAAAAATATTTTTGTGAAACCTGAAGCTTGATGCACATTTCCATAAAAAATCTTGAATCATTTCTTTAAATTGAACACAATTTCAAACTTTCTAAACTGCAAGATCTGTTGCAACACTGTTTTTTGCAAAGAAGCCTCTGATTTCACATTGCATTTTAGTCCTTATTTTGCCTTAAATGTTTAACGGCACCTCAGAAGAACAAGAAAGGGGATTTTCTGCTTTCAAGATTGGCCGTGGGTTTTCCCCGCAGTTTGTCATTGTTGTATTCTTTGTACTTGTAAATGTGAGGAAAGAGGTGAGAGCAGCTTCATGTCAGATGTGTTTTGCATGTATTCTTAGCTCTTATTCCTGTTTTTGTGTGTGAACCAGCCGTCATCTACAAACACCATCAGCATCGTGTCACACTTCTGCTTTGTTTTTTATAGAAAGTTGACACTTACTGAACTCTGAAAAATTGTGGCCTCCCTAGAAACACCCAAATGCACACATATATAGCCTATATAGAATTTATATATCTGCTGAAAGCTTAAAGGAGAAGCACATCCAAAAATGGCAATTTTGACATCATTAACACACCCTCATGTTGTTCCAAACTTGTATGGCTTTTTCACCTCATCTTGTGACCAATTACAGCATTTATTATGCAGCAGAAGTGTTTGTTCAGCTGATGCGTGTGTTTGCTTTATGTCTTTTCCTGTGTTGTGTGTATATGCATGTGTTCCCGTCCGTCCGGGTGTGCTCATAACCACTGGCCATGTGAATTATAGTTTTTCACACATGGAGACACATTTGGGTGTGTTTTCAGAGGGTTTGTGAATGCACAGCCTTGACAAAACAAGCAAGCTTAAAGGAATAGTTCACCCTAAAAAATTGGGGACAGAAATGTAGCATTACTTGACTTGCTCACAAATTGATGCTCTGCAGTGAATGGGTGCCGTCAGAATGAGAGTCCAAACAGCTGTACCACAAGTAATCCACACCACTCCAGTCCATCAGTTAATGTTTTGTGAAGTGAAAAGCTGCATGTTTGTTATAAATGGCTAAATATTGCTTTCTCCAGTGAAAAAGTCATCTGGTCTGAATCAGGAGAAAAATCTGCACAGATCAAGCACCGTTTACAAACCAAAGCAATCCAAAACAGTTCCAAATAAATTTGTCTGTGCATATGTGTGGATTTGTCTCATTTGTATGTGAGAGGGCAACAGAAGATGGACTTTTCACTGGCGGAAGTGTTATTATGGATAGAGAATTTGCATTTTAGCTGGAAGCAACAGTTCGAAGTTAAAATGCCTTAATGAACACGCAGCTTTTCACAAGCTGTTAACTGATAGACTGGAGTGGTGTGGATTACTGTGATGTTTTTATCAGCTGTTTGGACTCTCATTCTGACGGCACCCATTCACTGCAGAGGATGCATTGCTAAGCAAGTGATGGAATGCTACACTTCTCCAAATCTGATGAAGAAACAAACTCATCTACATCTTGGATGTCCTGATGGTGAGTGCATTTTCATTTTTGGCTGAAGTATTCCTTTTAAAATCTCTTGCAACTTTGAAAGGCTAGAAAAGCACAGCAAGCTGGTCCCATTGCTCTCAGTCCACGGCTCTCACACACGGGTGTTATAGAGTTTGAGTGTGGTGGGTGGAGGTAGACATGATCCTATCAGAAGGAAGCACAGCCTCCCTTTCTCCATCTCTCTCACGCAAACGACTCTCAAGTGCTTCCTGACAGCGGCGGCACCTGCTGTAACCCGACGGAGCAGCTCGTGGTCGGGTCTGTCTCATTTCCAGCTCACTCGTACAAATCAAAGCCTGTTTCCAAAATGCATCCCCTCCCAGTGCTGCTGAACATGGAGGGAGTGGGAGAGAGGGAGACGGAGGGGGAAAGCAGAGGTTTCGAGTTTTGTTTTTGCACGTCGAGGCCTTGGAATCTGAACTGGCTAACCTTTCCCAGCAGCTGCTGCTGTTTGAACAGTCTGCTCTGATCCGAGCGTCACACAGTCCGTCTGTTCGACGCTCGTTTGGCCACGAGGGGGCCGACGGGATGTTCTATCCTTCTTTCTTTCTCTCATACAACAAACACTGTGTTTTGTTTTGGTCATTTTTCGATCATTTAATCATTCTGTTGGTTCATTCTGTCATTCTGTCTATTGTTTTTAATATCTTTCTGTTACTTTCTATTGTTTTAAATTCCCTATCATTCTTTCTATAGTTCTGTTGTTTTGTTTCTTGTTCTTTTTCTTATTGTATCTGTCTGTCATTTCATCTATCGTTCAGCGCTTTCTAATTCTGGTTCTTCTATTGTTTTTCTATATTTTCAGTTATTCTGTATATTCTATCTGTCATTTTTCAATCATTCCGTCTGACATTCTTTTTGTCAGTCAATATTTCTATCATGTTGCTCTGTCTGTGGTTATCTAATTCTCTGTCATTTCATCCTGTCAGTTTTTCTTTGTATCTTTCTATCCTTTTAAATTTGATTTACATATCATTCTACCGTTATTTATCATCCCTTCCATCACTGTCATTTTATCTGTCATTCTTTTTTATATTCTGTCATATAGTTTTTTTATATTTCTTTCATTCCGTCAACCATTCTTTGTTTTTCCTTATTCTACCATATCTGTTTTTATCATTCTTTGTCATTTTATCTATCGTTCTTTGTATCATTCTATTGTTTTTCTATATTTTTCTGCCTATTGTTCTATCTTTCTGTCATTTTTTCCCTATATTTTGTCTATTGTTCTGTCTTCCTGTCTGTCATTCTATCATTCTGTTGTTCTTTTTTTATATTTCTGTCATTCTATCTATTTTTCTTCCTATCTGTCATTCTGTCATTCTATTGTTCTGTCAGCCATTCTGTCATTTTTGTGCATAATTCTGTCTGTCGTTGACAATTTTTCTGTCTTCCTGTGTCATTCTATCATTCTGTTGTTGTTTTTTATAGTTCTGTCATTCTGTTTATTCTTTTCCTCCTATCTGTCATTCTATTGTTCTGACAACCATTCTGTCATTTTTTTGTACGTAATTCTGTCTGTTTTGTTGTTCTGTCTGTTTGTCTATTTTTGTCTAGTTGTAGTATGTCTATCATTCTCGTTTCACTCTTTGGAACCTCTGACCCTTTCTGAAAGCACAAGGTCATTTGTTATTTCTTCAGTTCAAACACAGAGTATGTAATTCGTCTTTCTCTGTGTCTGTCTCTCTCTCTCTAGGGTCTGGAGGGGAACATATACGATCATGTGAAGGATTATCTGATATCCTTTTGTCGGACCGAGCTGGAAGCGTTTCAAGCCGTCCACAGCACCTTCCAGTTCCTGCTGGAGAAGTCCAGTCGAGTGAGTCTCTCTCTCTCCTTTCTTAGTTTCATCACTCTCTCAATTTCCTTCTTCATTCTCAGAAATAGATTCCCTTTGCCAGCGCCTCATTATCGGCTCCCCTATGAAGAAATCCCCTCACACACACACACACACACATCATTCCTCCACTGCGCTGACAAACACATCGGTCTGAGCATTGGGCATTTCACTGCCCAAGGGGGCTTAATTTTACATACCACTATTGTGACGCGTGTGTGTGAGAGAGAGAGAAACGCAAGGATCTTTCCTGCACAAGATCTTAAAGGGATAGTTCACGCAAAAATGAGCATTTTGTCATCATTTACTCACCCTTATGTCATTACAAACCTGTATGACATTCTTTCTTCTGCAGAACACAAAAGATATTTTGAAGAATATTAACATTTATTGTGCACAAAAAAAATCTGTCAAAATCATGTTCCAAGAAGAAAGGAAAAAAGTCAGTTTTTGGGTGAACTCTCCCTTTAAAGGAACATTTTTGCATTTCAGATACACTTGCATCATCTTGATATGTTTGTTAATTAGTTGTGTTTTTTATCTCCAGGTGATGCAGGACTTCAACCAGCAGCTGTTCCTGCAGGAGAACCCAGTGTTTCACAAAGCACAAGACTTCCAGTTCCAGCCCAGCGATAGCGATACAGTGAGTTTCGTGCATGCATGTTTACGAACTTCACTGCAATCAAGGAATCATGCACTACTGTTCAAAAGATTTGAGTTAGTAAGATTTTTTTTTTAAGAAATTAGTACTTTTTTTCCCAGCGGGGAGGTGTTAAATAGATCAAAAGTGACTGTAAAGACATTTATAATGTTATGGTTTCAATTTTGTTCGTCAAAGAATCCTGAAAAATGCAATTTATCATAGTTTCCACAAAAAATATGAAGCAGCACAACTGTTTTCAACATTGATAATAATCAGAAATGTTTCTTGAGCAGCAAATCAGCATATTAGAATGATTTCTGAAGATCATGTGACACTGAAGACTGGAGTAATGATGCTGAAAATACAGTTTTGATCACAGGAATAAATTACATTTTAAATTATATCACAGTTGAAAATAGATATTATAAATTGTAATAATATTTCCTGTTTTTACTGTATTTTACATTTTTACTGTATTTTAATAAATGCAGTCTTGGTGAAATCATTAAACCAACCTGGAACTTTTGAACAGTAGTGTGTGTGTTTTAGTCATAAAATCAGTTTAGATTGTGAATATCTATATATCAATTCTCTGTCATCCCAAATTACATTTTGTTCAGTTTATACCATGTTATGGCAGGGAATCTACCTCCAGTTTTCACCTAAACATCTTATTTTTAGTTGGTTTCATTATTTAGCGTATCAGCGCTCTCTCTTCCTGTCTTGGTCTTCTCTCTGTTGTTCTCTCTATTTAAAGGTTTAAATTGTGTTCAAACGTTTCAGATTTTATTCAGCGTTAACAACGTCATCGACACTTATCTCACAACTCTGCAGAAAAAACTCACAAATTTCATCATCACCTTTTATTTTTAGCCTGACGCATCTGAGAGTCTCTGGGAACAGAATTTCTTGTTCCTGTGGTGATGAAGAAATGTCCCGCTGTTGAAACTCTCGTCTGTCTCTGCTCGGGCTGTAATCACCACTCGTTTTGTGAACGTTCTCTCGTTACGCTTCAGTGTGTTTGATATTTAGTTCGTGTTCTCTCAGCCATAGTGTTCCTCTTTGTATCTGTCTACGTTCTTCTATCCTATTTGAAACTTTGATTTCAGTTTAGTGTGCTTTAATGGTATAACAACTAACTTAACTAGCTAATTTAATACAGTGCCCACCGACCTATACATAAACTTCGTAATAAACAATTATCCTTCTGTCGGAGCAATTCAAGCTTGAAAGTACTGCTTAAATGAAAATCATGTTTGTGTGAGACCGTGATCAATCCAGCCTGGTCAGTTAAATCTACACCAGAACATCTGTTAATATGAAATTGAATTATTTTGACTTCTAAAGCCATTTTTTATGTAAAATGTTCGGTTTTTAATTTAAGGTTTGATGCTTGTTCAGGGTTTACACATCTGTCATAATAATGTGTTAAGGCTATTTTTGAAGGGCTTTTCTCAGTATTGTTTGTGAGTTGTTGGTTTTTTTTTAGATTTTGATAAATTAGCATATTTTATTAAATTAATTATATTAATTAGCTGTAGAGTTACTAAAATGAATGATCTGATCGTTGAATTGTTACTATACTATTTTTAACTATAATTTAAATATATTTAAATAAAGGTATTGGAATTAGCTTAGTAATGCGTTTTAGTGTGAATTTCATTTTAGTACCTTAATTATTGTTGACAACAAAAATTATAAAAAATATATAATGTAAAAAAAAAAAGAATGAAAAACTTTTTCTTTGCTTTCACTCTAATAAATTCCTCCCTGTTTTAATCTATTCTGTTTCACACTGTTTCTACAGATTTATTGTTCTCATGTTATTGCTTTCTTAAGATTTGTTGCTTTGGAAGTCATTTTGGATAGTGTCTGCTAAATGAAAAAAAAGTTTAAAAAAAATATTTCGGCAGTTTCTCTTTACTACTTTATTTTGTGTGGATCGTAAAATACTCAACATGCTACTTTATATATTATTTAATAAAGTAATGTTAATTAACTTAAATCAAATCTTCATCTTTGGCCATCTATTTTAAAGTTTCTACATTATATTTAGTAGTAGCTTATCAGTGGTGACTATGTCAAGTTGATGTCTATATGGCAGAAATGTACAGTAAAAATCATGCAGTTAGTTAATGACATGTAATCAAACAGACAGTGAACACTATTAACTGCAATGATTATATGTTGCAATTAAACTTCAATTAAATTAATTTTAATTGAGTTCTAATCAATTAAATTATTAACAGCAATTAATCAATCAGCCTTTAATCACTATCAAACGCTCCCCAAGTAACTGTATGGTTAGCATTTGCTCGCTCTCTTTATCTTTCTCTCTCTTCCCTCCATCTTCCTGTAGTTCAGTGTTGAATCCTGTAGTGTGATTGTCCTCTCTCACAGCTCTAGTAGTTAGTATGTATTGTGTTTGCTAGCGTTAACGTCTCTAAACATCTTTCTGACTGCTTTGCTGTTTCTAACCCTGTTTTTCTGTCCTCTAACAGTCTGTTTCTAACCCTCTCTTAATCCCACCGCGCGTGCGTGCGTGCGTGCGTGCGTGCGTGTGTGTGTGTGTGTTGTGTGTGTGCCCATCTTTCCTCCTCTCCGGCTCAGACTCTGAGCTCTGTGCAGAAGTTGGTGGACATTGAGCCATCGGCGGTCAGTGTGATGAGAATGACTCTGGCGCAGGTACACACTGTCTGTTGGACTTGATTTCCCATCATGCATCATTCTCGTGCAGCCATCATCAACTTGTTGTTTTTGTTGTTGTTCTTTGCATGCATGTTTTGTTACATTTAAACGTGAAGTGTGTAATGTTTGCACCGCTAGCAGCCCAATTGGCTCAGCCAGTGGTTTGACTGTAGGCCAGTACTTTCTGTTTGTCTGACCAATAGCAGGAGTTTGAAAACTTTCTTTTTTTAATGTCATTATTTTTACAGTTCTGTATTGGGTGCCACCAGCAGTGCAGAATTTATTTTATTATATTATATTATATTATATTATATTATATTATATTATATTATATTATATTAATTATATTATATTATATAGTCGAGTCAGTTTTATTTGGTGTAATGCTTTTTTACACAGTTTCAAAGCAGCTTTACAGAAATGCATGATGTTAATGTGTATTACACCTTATGTATTACACATTATGTGTATTAATTAATATGTTAATAAATATTGTAATTTATGTGTACATGATAGATAGATAGATAGATAGATAGATAGATAGATATTTCTATTTATTAACCGAGACTTCATCATTAGCCACTATAGGAAAATAACTAGAACAACAAAGTGCCGTAAATTTCTATTTCTATTTCTATTTAGTCAGGTTAATTTTTCATAATATAAAAGTGCCAAAGTCATACGCATTCCATCACGCTCTCCCAGAAAGCATGTCTCAGTGTTTGAAGCAGAGGCACATAGGATTGATTAGGCCTTCGTGAGCGCCTCTGATCCAGATGGAGACCCTGCAGACTGTCATGTGTTTCCCAGCAGACTTGGCAACCCAGCATGCCTCAAACACATTCACCACATCTGTTTAAGGTCACGGCCAGAGGAAAAACAGCAAGACGTAAAAAAGGAGAGCGATGTTTGGATGCATTTTTTTCCCCCTTTCGAGAAACGCTTGTCAGCCGTGACTAGTGCTGATATCAGATTGATGCGGCAATATCGAGTGAAGATGCTTGTGTTAAAGCGCTCTGATTGAGTTTGTATTGATCAGTGCTGTCAGACTCAAATATTCACATATGCAAGAATGCAGTGTCAGCGATACTGTCAGATCATACGCCACTCTTCTCACAGGATACTGCCATTTGCACGTGTTGTTCTTATAGAATTGAACAGAATATGGTAGCTATTTTCTATTGGAGGATAAATATGAGACCGGTCAGATTAAAGGGCTTTTTTGTTTTTTAGAAAAGTGCTCAGTTGTCTTTTAGTAAAATACACATACATTCTAATGTTTGTTTAGTCAACTTCTAAAATAAGTAAAATGTAAATAGATGACAAGGCATGGACTAAAAACCACAGATATTTTGATTTAATGTGTAATGTTTAATATACTGCAGTGTTTAAAGTTAACATGAATTTGGCATTGCAACCCATTTTATTTTTATAATGACATTTTTGTGAGTGAAATGCAATATTCAACCAAAGGAATATGTAGGGTGGGATTTATTTATCAAGGCAATGAAAAATAAAAGAGATTGTTGAAGAAGTGTTGTTTCACAGATGGAGAAAGTTCTTAAATTTAATGAAAGATGATGAATTATATATTCTAATTTGATTATGATGATTATTTCCCTTTTCAGTAACATACACTACTGTTCAAAAGTTTGTTTTTTTTATGTTTTGAAAGAAGTCTCTTCTGCTCACCAAGGCTGCATTTATTTGATAAAAAAAAAAAAAGTGAAATATTATTACAATTTAAAATATCTGTTTTCAACTGTAATATATTTTAAACTGTAATTTATTTCTGTGATCAAAGCTGAATTTTCAGCATCATTACTCCAGTCTTCAGTGTCACGTGATCTTCAGAAATCATTATAATATGCTGATTTGCTGCTCATGAAACATTTCTGATTATTATCAATGTTGAAAACAGTTGTGCTGCTTCATATTTCTTTGGAAACTGATACGTTTTTTTTTTTTTTTTTAAGGATTTTCTGATGTTCAAAATTTTTCAAAAGAACAGCATTTATTTGAAATATAAATCTTTTGTAATATTATAAATGTCTTTACTGTACTTTTGACTATATTAATGCATCCTTAGAAAAATGAAAAAATAAAATAAAAACAGAAAAAAATCCCAAACTTTTAAATGCTAGTGTATACTGATAAACTGATCAGCAAAGATTCCTGTTGATTTTTCTTCACACTCTCATAAGAGACTTTTGTCTAAATGCATATTGTTTTCAAGTGTTTAAGCTCAGAGATAAATGCATGGGAGAGACGTATAATTAGTTGATGACACCTGGAATGATGCTGAGAAAGAGACAGACTTGAGATTTGAAAAGACTTTGTAACAACCTAAATGAAATATGAGTTCATTAGATTTTACTGTACATGCACGTTTCACAATGAGCCTCAACTCGCCTCCTAAAAAAATGATTTATGTTGTATTGCATCCCTTATCATTAGACAGAAGCATCAAGCAACCTTTTTTCCTCCACAATCCTCAGACCTGTCGTTTGTTAACCATCTTTTCCCACTAAACCTCTGCTAATCCAAGTAGGTTGGTTGATTTGAGTTGATTAACAAATCCTCCTGTGCTTCAGGTCTGATATCAGAGATGTTGAAATGTTCTCAGCACTGGATCTGTGCTTTTGTGTTTTTAATTGTGAATGTAAAGAGTCTGATCTCAGACCTGTGATTCCGGCAGGTGTGTGTTGCTGTGGTAACCAGTTCTGTGTGTGTGTGTGTGTGTGTGTGTGTGTGTGTGTGTGTGTGTGTCAGAGTCGACAGCTGGAATCGGAGACGGGAACCACCGAAGAACACAGTCTCAACAAAGAAGCGAGGAAATGGGCCACACGTGTGGCTCGCGAACACAAAAACATCATCCATTACAAACGGGTGAGAGGCGCTGGATGTCACACTCACGCATTTACACTCCAAAACAACATCTGTGACAAACCACACACTTAAACACTTAAAAATCTTTTGTAAGTATCGAGATGCAAATTCATAATTTTATAGTAATTACAAATGATGTGACATAAGGTTTAATTTCACAATCATGTTCATGTCACATGAATCCACAAAATTAAAAAATAAATAAATAAATGAAATTAACCCTAAATCTGGAAATTTTACATTTGAGGATCCCCCCCCCCAATTTATTTATTTATTTATTTTTGTCATTTGCATTATTCTCAGTGGAGATTTTTTGTTGCATGTTAATTATACAGTATTTTTATATCTACAATAAAGCATATTGCAGTATAGTATTATACAATATTATTTTATTTTTATGACAATTCTGTGAGATCCAGCCCCAAATTCTGGATATTTTACATTTGAGGATTTGATATAAATTCTGTTGAGATGCAAATTAATAATTTAATTACGGATGACTAAAACATAAACTGTTTTACAGGAGCAGGTGTAATCTCAAAATCCATCCAGGTCACATAATTCCACAAAATTAAAAGAAATTAAAAATGTTTTTACTATTTTAGTGAACTTCACTATTTTATTTTTACTTTACTTATTTATTTTTTTATTTTAGTTTATTTAATTTTTAATTTTTTTTTTACTTTATTTATTTTACTATAATTTGTTCTTTTCTTTTCTTTTCGGTGAGTTCCAGGCCCAAATTGTTGCAGTACAATATTATACAATATTTGTTGTATTGCAATATTATATTTAATAATCAAAATAAAAGTGGTAGAACAGTATACTTTCTTTCAAATGTACAAAATAGTTTGAAAGAGAAATGTGCTTAATAATCATGAAAAAGTCACAATGTTACTAAATTTGTAACATCTTCTTTTTTTCCTTTTAATTCTGAGGTAAAATATGACCTCATCGTTTCTAAAAGTTTTTGTGAGATTCAGGGGAATTCAGGAATGTGAATCACTGCGTTAAACGTTATGCGTGTCCTGTGCGATTGTTAGATTAGTGGCAGGAAATGTGGTCTGATGCTGTTTTTTCTTAGCTTAGTTGCTTGATGAGCTAATTGAACTGAGCTGATTGAACGGTAATTTGTTTTTATGGCAGGCTCTAGAGGAATGCGAGACGCTCGGGACTCCGCCCACGGAACAGAGCCGGAATGAGCTGGAATTCCGAATAGAGGAGGCCAAGGAGAGCATCCGCAAAGCAGAGGTGACGTAATGATGCTCATCATGTTCTTCCGAGGAACACAAAAGGAGAAGTTTAGCAGGATGTTCACGCTGCTTTTTGCCCTACAGTAAAAGAGTGGACTGGAGATGAGTTTTAGCTTTTATTTTTCTCTTTTCCTTGGATAATGCATCATATCGCTTCAGAAGGCTTGGAATATAGTGCGTAAGTCAAATACATTGAAAAAAGAAAAACTGATGTAGAATCAATTTTCACTCAGAAATTGATCGTAAATGAAATTTATTGCATGAAATTTTAAAGTGTTTTCTTGTAAATGTACTTCAACTGCAAAAAATCTTTTTTTACTATGTAGAGCTTGATGGCATCCGTCTGTGTTTACTTGTGCTGTAAACACGTGTATGTTTGCACAGAATAGTTTTGTATAGTGCATTTATTTGAGTAGCATTTCATTTGTTTTTATTAGACCAAACAAGGCAGAAGTGCTTAAAGGGTTAGTTCACCCAAAAATGAAATTTCTGTCATTAATTACTCACCCTTGTACAACTGTAACAAAAAGTTACGAAGACGACGTCAATGATCACGTCATTATGCCGGATCTGGGTCAGCGCCGCCACACGCTCACGTATATGGTACTGTCGTGAACGTGCGTCCACAAGTGATGCAGTAGAGACGAAAATGTGGAATAAAGTCGTTATTTTTGTTTTCTATATGCAAAAAAGTATTCTCGTAGCTTTGTAACTTCACAGTTGAACCACTGATGTCACACAGACTACTTTGTCAGAATTTTCATTTTTGGGTGAACTAACCCTTTAATGATGTCCCAAATGTCTGTCTGTCTTTCTGTAATGCATGCATTTCCCTTTCCAAACAGAGCTCTCTCTATCGATCTGTTCAGAGACAGGCTGTCAGTCTCTTTGTCTGATCAATGTGTCTTCTCCTCGAAGATGTCCTGCCGTGTCTTTACACATGAATCCAGCAGCGAGGCGCCCTCTGCTGGCCTTGCCTCTGACCTCTCGTATAGATTATATATTAAAGGAAGTGTTCATCCAAAAATGACAATTGTGTCATAGTTTAATCACCCTCACGTGGCTCCAAACCCATATGACTTCATTATTCCTTGAAGAAGGAATTCTGTGAATATTTTGAATGGCTTTTCCATGTCCTGGCAGCATACAATGATTAAGAGATGAATGAGCCATAAAAATGCTATATTCTTTTTTTTCTTTTATTTCAGCTGTGTTTCCATTAATGAAAACATTTTTAATAGTTTTAATTTACAATAACAACACTGGGCTACAATGGACAACTGGTTTGTATACTACAGTAAATGTAAACTATGAACAGGACAATCTATCTGTTAATTAGCTTTTTTTATTTTCAGTTTTCATTTTAATTTTTGTTAAGTGTTTTGACATTTTTATTGTTTTTTTTATTTATTTTGGTTTAGCTTTGATTTATTTTTATTTCAGTTTTAGTCATTTTAGTAATTCAACTTCAACGTATTTCTATCCATTTTTATTTTGAATTAGTATTTTTATCCTTTTTTTATTTTAATTTTGGTTTAAGTTGTAAAATTTTGTACTTTATTTTTTATTTGTTTGTATTTTAAATGTTTCTATTTGGCTTTAATGTATTTTATTACAGTTTTAGTAATTTAGTACTTCAACTTAAAACTATTAAAAATCATTTTCCTTAACTGAAAAAGAGCTGAAATAAATTAAAGTATTTTTTTATGAAAAATTTGAAATGCTGCCTTGGCAACTATTTGAAATAAATCAATTTAAGTTCAATAAATTTAATAATTCAATGACCAAGAGCAATAACAAACAATAAATGAACCATAAAAGTGTGATATGTTCCAAGCCTTCGTAAGTCATGCAATAGCTTAAAATTGAACATTTTAATCCCTAAAAATGATGCTCTCAAGTTTTATGCATGCATGCATTCAAATCATTTTATCTGGTTTGTCATCATTGACACCAAACAAATTGGTTCTTGCATGTCTTGTGACGGATCAAATCCCACCAAATTTGAATATGCATAAGTGCATATTCCTTATTGGGAAGTCATATGGGTTTGGAACAATACGAGAGTGAGCAAATGATGACAGAATTGACATTTTTGGATGAGACAAATTAACGACAATAAGTAATTACAGAGAATTTAATGGACTAGATGTCGTAGATAAAACACCATCTTTGTTTTTTTCTCTTGAACTCAGAACGCTTGAAGCCAAATTGTAGTTCTCCATTAGTTCTTACAAACAATTAAATATTTAATAACCCCATTAAGAACTAATGGACAAACAGCAAAGACACAACAAACAGAATAAGGAATGAAACCTAAAGTTGCGTTTGGAAATGTTAAGCTGATATTTGGCAGCAGGCAGTGTGCCAGAGAAATCTGTGTTTAGGCTACTCATCAACACATATTAAAAGTATAATTGCATTTTAATTATTTCTTTTGAAATTTCTTGTCCCATCAGAATTACACAGAAATGAATGACTGAGGGAGTCCACACTGAAATGGCTTCTGAAAGCTGTTTGTTGGCTAAACTGAAAGTGATGAGTTTTCAGAAAGTTTGGCTGATAATGAGAAACAGCTGTAGGATCCTCAAAGATTAGACGCCTCACCTGACTAATGAGCACAGCTACCCCAGACGTTATGACGGGACGGGACACTCGTGCTCCCAGCAGTTTTATCTTGTTTGTTTTTCTCTGTCTGACATTAACTTGTCTTTTAAAATGCAGCTTTTTGCTTTCAGAGGCTACTTTCATTCAGTCAGTCCTGTTTTAAAGCTACATTCACACACAGTTTGTTTTAGAATCAATCTGACACCCTTCGGTTTTCAGCACTCAATTTCATTGCAAAAAGTGACTGCAAAATTGCATTTTGAATGTGAGGTTGGTCAACCTGGACTGAGGCAATGTTATTTTAGTCATATTTTTATAGTAATATAGTATTATTTGTATTTTGAATTATAGATTTTAGTTTTAAGATTTTGTTATATGCTTTTGTCTTTTTTTATGAGTGTTGTTATATTTCTGTTTAGCTTTAATCCCCCCCCCCACCCCCCAGTTTTATTAATTTTAGTATTTCATCATATTTAATTCAGTTAATTGCCAAGGCATAATTTCACATTTTTGTATGGACAACTTACTTGTTGCTTGAAAATTACTGTATATGTAAGCTGTTTATTTTTATTTGTAGTTTTCATTGTATTTGTCCTTTTTTTTTAGTAATTTTGTTATGCACTTATGTCAGTTCTGTTAGTTTGTGTGGTTTTTAATGTCTATTTAGCTTTTGTTTATTTTTATTTTAGTTTTAATTTTAATCATTTTAGTACTTCAACTTATTTCAGTTAGTTTCCAACGCAATATTTTAATGGTCATTCTTCATGTTTTACATGTAATTTTTTTTTTTTTTTTTTTAGTTCAGCTCTTTTTCAATTAACAAAAATACTTTAATAATTCTAATTTTGGTTGCTTTTGTATGAACAGACAAGCTTTTATTTCGTTTTTTATGTTTAGTTTTAATTTGATTAGTTTTCATCTTTTTATTATGTACTGTTGTCATTTTTATTAGTTTTTTCTTTTTATATTTCTATTTAGCTTTCGTTTATTTTTATTTCAGTTTTAGTCATTTGAGTACTTCAACTTATTTCTATCTGTCTATCTTTATTTTAAATTACTTTTTATCTTTTCAGTTTTCATTTACATTTTTTTATTAGTTTGTTTTGAAATATTTCTATTTAGCAATTTAGTAATTTTCTATTTAAATATTTGTTTGTAGGCTAGTCATTTATTTTTACTTCACTCTTAATAATTTACTACTTGCACTTACATATTTATAAACATTTATTATAAAATATTCAGTAGATTTATTTCAACTATTAATATTAATGTATATTTCTATTTATCTTTCATTTATTTTTATTTCAGTTTTAGTCATTTTCGTACTTCAACTTATTTCTATCTCTTTATTTTAAATTAGTTTGTTTCATTTTATTTTCAGTTTTAATTTCAATTTTTTTATTAGTTTTGAAATATTTCTATTTAGCAATTTAGTAATTTTCTATTTAAATATTTGTTTGTATGCTAGTAATTTATTTTTACTTCACTCTTAGTAATTTACTACTTCAACGTACATATTTATTATAAAATATTCAGTAGATTTATTTCAACTGTTTTAATGTATATTTCTAATTTATTTTTATTTTAGTTTTAGAAATTATAGTACTTACACATATTTCAGTTAGTTGCCAAGACTACTACTTTTATTTTATTTCAGCTCTTTTTCCGTTAACACAAAAGATTTTTAGTAGTTTTAGTTTTCTTAAGATTAACCACACCAGACTGAACTGAACCACACTGGACAATTAGTTATTCATTCATAAGCAGTAGATGTATGAACAGGACTGTCTGTCTTTGTGTTTTCCAGACGCTAAAGCTGAAAGCAGAAGCGTGTCTGGACCTCCTGCGGCAGGTGGGAGTTTCTGTGGACACGTGGCTGAAGAGCGCCTTGAACCAGGTGATGGAAGAGCTGGAGAACGAGCGCTGGGCCTCGCTGCCCCCCCTCACCACCCACGACCTCTCTCTGTCGGTGAGATCAAAGAGTTTACATGCAGATTCTCTCACTTTCCATTTCAAATGATGCAGTTGAGGTGGGATTTTGTTCTCATGCATTTGATAAAAGAGTCCTGCCAGCCTCCTCAACCCGCTCCGCTCCTTCCTGTTTCTGTCAGCGCCATTGTTTTCAGACCAGCCTAAACAAACAGTTGCCACAGCAGAGAGAACTAATCTTGATCACAGCAGACAAACGTTCCCCTGAACTCAACAGATGCACTCACACAGACCCCAATCCCTTTGAGATGCTAGAAGATGTGACAGTGAGTTATGAGTTCTGGGTGGAATAGTGCCATTTATGCCAAGTACACACTATAAGACTAAAGCACATTTGACCACTTATGCTTTCGTGTTTTTGGTGCAGTTTACACACTTTATTATTCTAATATTTTGCGGCATTTATTGAGACGGTGGTTGGTGAAATGCAGACAGCTGTCCTGTTTATTTATTATAAAAGGTTTATATGATGTATTTATTATATTTCAAATGTATGAATATTCGATTATTTTTATTGTATTAAAAAAAATATATTGTAATATTTATATATGTATAATATAATATTTTTGTTTATATTAATATTTTAATTATATTTATACATTTTTGTAACTTGTTTTTAATAAATACACATTTTTATTATATATTAATTATATTTAAAAATTATAGGTATTTATCATTATTATTATATTTATATTATTACAATTAAAAACAGATATTTTTACTTGACTTTAGTTTTATAATATATAAATACACACTGTAACAGAAGAGTCGACCATTGTCAACAAATGAAATGGAGGAATATTTTGCGGCATTTATTGAGACGGTGGTTGGTGAAATGCAGACAGCTGTCCTGTTTATTTATTATAAAAGGTTTATATGATGTATTTATTATATTTCAAATGTATGAATATTCGATTATTTTTATTGTATTAAAAAAATTATATTGTAATATTTATATATGTATAATATAATATTTTTGTTTATATTAATATTTTAATTATATTTATACATTTTTGTAACTTGTTTTTAATAAATACACATTTTTATTATATATTAATTATATTTAAAAATTATAGGTATTTATCATTATTATTATATTTATATTATTACAATTAAAAACAGATATTTTTACTTGACTTTAGTTTTATAATATATAAATAGACATTATGTTTATAATTCATTATATTTAAAAATGTATTATTATTATTGTATTTAAGAATTGTAAATATACATTTTTACATTTATTTTTAGTACATATATAAAGACACACCTCTTCTGCAAGCACTTAGTAATCCACAACCATAAACAAAGGCACATACTACAAAAAAAGCTCCTATTTTACAAAATAATTAAAATAATAATCTTATTCTCTCTTTTTCTGGATAAATGCAGCTGCTAAATTAATAAACAATAAAAGTAGTCTTTTTTCTTAAGCCTTTCTGCTGTTACATTTTTTTTTAGCTAGTTGTCACTTTTTGCACACCTGAAGTCTGGTTGTTGAGCAAATCTATGGTGTGCAAATTTCTGCAGACTAGAAGAGCGTCATGTGCTGCAAGTTGACTAATCGGGGGTGAAATTTGAGTACAAGTTTATATACTCCATAGTACTTGAGTAAAGAATGAGAACAGTGCAGCAATGTTAAGCACAAGTGTGAAGTACTGCGAGGCTAAAACACGAACATAGTGTGAAGCACGGAGCCTCAAGGTCATTGTAAAGATTGAGTGATTTTAGGTAAGACGGCAGAAATATTAATAACATAGCAGAGTTTAGCCCACAGCACAGACAGATTGACCTCCGTCTGTGGTTTAATATTCAGCTCACAGCGCCCCGCAGCACACAGACAGAGATGGAGAGATTTACAACAGAACATAAGAAAGCTAAAGACGAGAAGAGACCACAGCAACTGATGCGAGTTTGGGAAACCTGGAATAACTGATCTCAGTCCCTCGGTTTATTTTCAGATGAGGATATTTTAGGATGCGAGGATGAGAGGAGATGATAAAAGCATATATGAAATGAAAAGAGAAAGTTATTATAGATAGTTTACACACATCTTTGTGGAAATTAGGCTTTAACCCTGTAAAGCCTGACATATTCAATAATAGTAAAAAAATATATATTTATCTTTTTTTTTTTGAATGCAGCAGTTTATTGAACCGTTTATTGATACATTTCAACATGATTTTTGTTGCAATGGATAGAAAATCAAGTAAACCTTCATTCCAGTAATATTGAAATATTGCAAACAATAAAGCTTTTCTTACATTTACTTTATAAAAATCATTAAAGATTTCACCGTGAAGAACAAGCTGAACTAAAAGACATTTTACTTGCTAAAAAAGTATTTAAAGCTGTTAATCAGAAGACCTTGGGTGTACCACTGGATTTGATAACTTAGAGGCCTTAAGAAATTTCCATTTCAATCTTGAGACAGTAGGCTTTATAGGGTTAAGATAACAGTGACCTCAAAGTGCTTTCTCACACTCAGTCTAATCTTTATTACCTCGTCACAAGCTGTTTTATGTCAGCAGTGGGTGTGGTCTGTAGATCAGGCTCCGCCCACCACAACACAGGTTCCAGATTACAGTGACCTCGTCTGGTCCCATGATTCAGTTCTGTTGACCTTCACTGACTGACACGGGATCAGTTTTCCTCCGGTATTGTACCCAGTTAAATCCGGTTATGTGAGATGCACATTGAACACCTGTAAAGGTATGAGTGTCCATTTCCTGTGTCCTTTGTTGATGATTTTATTCTTCTGTTTGCCACGTTTTGTCTCCTGGGAAAAATGGTCACCTGATCCTCTCTAGACCAATGAGATTATCCTATAAGAGTGGGCGGATACTAAGTAAAGTCCACACACCTATTGAATTTTGGTCTGTTGAGCTGTTTGTTGCATGCCGTTGTATTTTCTCACACAAAAAAGCCCTCTGCCAAACTTTCTGAAGGTTATTGACCAATACTGAGCCAACAAGTGAGCTGTGCTGTTTGTCCATGTGGTGACGCTCATTGTGGTGTCTCTGTAGACCACGGTGGATTTGGACAGAGAGGAAGGAGAAGAATTAGAAGAGAACATGGAGACGTACGACGACAGCAGCTCGAGTCCTTCAGGAACCCTGAGGAACTACCCGCTCACCTGCAAGGTGTTCTACTCATACAAGGTAAAAGACACCGACTCATTTCACTCGGGCTTAAGAATTATCTAAAAAGTGTGGACCAGTTATGATTTTGTTAACTAAAACTATTAAAACAAGTTTTTGTTCATTGAAATAAAATGTAAATATAAATATTAGATGAAAAACGTCAACTTAAAAAAATGTATACTAGTATCAAATCTAATTTATAATAAATATTAATCATGTTTTAATATAATTTCATGTTATTATAAATAAAAACAAAAAAAGTTCAAGAAGTTTTTTATTAATAATAAATTATGCATAAAATTATATTATAAAGTAATACTTATTAATTTATGTTTAGAAAAATGTTTATAATGTATTAATTAAATTTTATTTAACATTTATTACAAACAAAAAAGTTTTTTTATTTATTATTGTTTATTATAAATTATACATAATATTGATAAACTATAAATATTTCATATTTAAATATTTGTCAAAGTACATTTATTTATTGATTTATTTAAAAACACATTTAGCTGGGGCTTAGGATCAAACTATTACAAATGTATTCGTTTTCATTGAAATAAAGCTGAAATAAAATGAAATATGAATATTAGATGAGAAAACAAACTCTTAAACTAGAATTGAAAATGTTGCCTTGGCAACTAACTGAAATAAGCTGAAGTACTAGTAAGTGGTAAGTTGAAGTACTCAGTTCTAAGTTAAAATGAGTTGAAGCACTAAAATGACTAAAACAAAAACCTGAAAATGAAGTTAAAACTAAATAGAGATATTTAAATAAATGTATGGAAATGACAAAAACACAAAAAATGACTAAAATATAAAAATTGAATTCAAATATTAATAAATACTGTAATGTAGTATATAAATATCATGTAATAAACCTCATCAGCATCTCTTCAATGTTTTATGCATATGATACCATCTAAAAAAATCAAACGTTCATGAACTTTGGCATTGTTTGATTTCTAACATTGTTGACCTTGTTGAGATAAGTCTCAAATTTCTGCCCCCCCTGCAATTGTTCAAATGTATTTGGAAACATTAGCTTAGCAATAGCATTAGTCAAAGTCAAAATCTCTGTTGGTCACATTTTTCTCCTACTTGCCCAGCAGCTTGGCTTATGAATATTAATTGTCATGTGTGCATTGTGTGCTTCCTATTCTTATTCGTCATTCTGCAGCCGAATAAAATAAATATTTTAAAATTGTAATGATTATCTACTAAACCGTGTTGAAGTCAGTGAAAATGGTTGCTACACCCCTGCATTTTCCTGCATCATTCTCTTGTTTGTAAAGGTTGTGTCTGGAAAACTGCTAAAATGTCAGCTGATTTGTGGGAAAATATTAACCTGCACAGTGACCTCTCATTGCTCAACAGTGTTTTACCTCTCTCTTTCTCTCAGGCCTCTCAGCCTGATGAACTAACCATCGATGAGCATGAGATGTTGGAGGTTATAGAAGATGGAGACATGGAGGACTGGGTGAAGGTAAACCATTTAAACCATTGCTTATTTCAGCAGTTCAACACAACCTGCTGAAGTTTATTTCAATTAGATTGTAATTCAATAAGATCTACAGAAGAAAAGGATTTTTGTGTGTCTCGTAATGTGTGATTTACACCGAATTCCAATTATTCCAAAAGTTCTGCACACAAACGTTTAGAATGACAGTTGGTTGAATTCTTTGGAAAACTGTGGAACTTTCCGCTGAATTCCGTTTGGGCCTGTTTATGAGTTTTAATCATTTTTTGTTAGTTTAGTTGTTTTTTTATTATTATTATAAATAATCTGAGAATTCATTAGCTCTGTTTAAAGTCGCAATAAAACAGAATAGCAACATCTTTTCACAATAAAAATCATTCACAATACAATCTATAGCATTCATTTAAAAATATTAGAATTAATTTTCATTTCTTGCAAGCTTTAACGCATTTTACTATGTTTAGGTTCATCCCAGAGATTTTTCACTCCAAAATTAGTGCAGAAACTCCATTTGAATTCCAGTGTTATTCCGAAAGTTCCATTCGCAAACTGTTTGAATGATGGTTGTTTGAATTCTGCGGGAGTCGGTGATGATTCCATGTGGGACTTTGTCCTTGCATGTTTGATTATTAAATATTTTGGTGATTATTATCAATTGATTATTTTTATTTTTAATCATTTGATTATTCTTTTAGCTCTGTTTCACAGATTTATCATGTTTAGATCAATTACTGATTTTTTTCTCCCAAAATCAATGAAGAAAATTGGATTAAAGTGTTTGGGTGACTGCTGCTGAATGTTGTCATGGTTGGTTCCAGGCGCGGAATAAGTCCGGTCAGGTGGGCTACGTTCCAGAGAAGTACCTGCAGTTCCCCACATCCAACAGCGTCCTGAGCATGCTCCAGTCCCTCGCTGCTCTGGACGCACGCTCACACTCCTCCAGCAACTCCACTGAGCCTGAGCTGGCATCAGGCAGCTTCAACGGAGACAGCAGCAGTGAGTCTCTCACACACACACACAGACGGATGAATGCTGATGGTTTGTGTGGGTGGGTGATGATGTGAGTCACAATGCATCTAAATGTTCATTCTGACCTTTATTAATGAAAATGTGTCATGCTACTACTGTGTTGGTGTTTTTTGGACGTATTACTAGGTTTTGTTTTTGTTTTGTTTTTTATGACATGGTCTGGTTTCTCACAAACATGGAGAACTTGGAAATATCAGGGAATCAGCCTGGAAATAAATTGTCCAAAAAATGATTGGACATGTCTGAAAGAAAACAATTTATTCATCAAGGATGCAATAAAGTGATCAAACGTGACAGAAAAGACATTTATAATGTTACAAAATATTTAAATTTCAAACAAATGCTTCCTCTTTAAGTTTTAGCACAACTGTTTTCAACATTGATAATAATCAGAAATGTTTCTGGAGCAGCAAATCAGTATATTAGAATAATTTCTGAAGGATCATGTGACACTGAAGACTGGAGTAATGATGTTGAAAATTCAGATTTGAACACTGGAATAAATTACATTTTAACATATGTGACCCTTGTCATAAGGGTCAATTTTCTGAAATTGGGATTTAGACATCATCTAAAAGCTGAATAAATAAGCTTTCCATTAATGTATGGTTTGTTAGGATAGGACAATATTTTAGATACAACTATTTGAAAATCTGGAATCTAAGAGAGCAAAAAAAATCAAAATATTGAGAAAATTGCCTGTAAATATGTCCAAATGAAGTTCTTAGCAATGCATATTACTAATCTAAAATTAAGTTTTGATATATTTACGGTAGGACATTTACAAAATATCTTCATGGAACATGATCTTTACTTACTGGTAATATCCTAATGATTTTTGGCATAAAAGAAAAATCTATAATTTCGACCCATACAATGTATTTTTGGTTATTGCTACAAATATACCTGTGCTACTTGTGACTGGTTTTGTGCTCCAGGGTCGCATATATTCAAATAGAAAAGAGTTACTTTAAATTGTAATTATATTTTGCTGTTTTTACTCTATTTTTGGTCAAATACATGTATCCTCTGTGAGCATAAAATACTTTTTTTAATTAAATCTTACAGACCCCAAACTTTTAGCAGACAAAAACTCCATAAAACACTTTTGAAAGTTGCAAGCTGTGAAAATGACTTGATCTCAGACCTTTAAACAGTGCGTGCCATTGTAAAGACTGCGAGTCGATCCCTCACAGCCTCATTTTTACCTGCATTACATCCAGTATGCCGTCTAACCTGACCGAGGCATATTAACAACCTCTTTCTTTTCTTCTTCGTCTCTCCCAGTGAGTTTTGTCAAGGCCATGTACGACTACGAGGGTCAGACGGATGATGAGCTGTCATTCCCTGAGGGAGCCATCATCCGCATCCTCAACAAGGACAACCAGGAGGACGACGGCTTCTGGGAGGGCGAGTTTAACGGACGAGTGGGCGTCTTTCCGTCCGTGCTGGTGGAGGACCTGACCGCCTCAGAGAACGGAGACACTCACTGGGGAACAGACACACAGGCGAGACGAGCAGAACTCAGTCTGAGTCTCTATGTCCACACTTACTGTGTGTTTCTGAGTGGGTTTGATGTCCGAGGCCTGGTGTTGTTGATTACAGGCATGGCTGCTTCCTTCCTCTAATTAACATCATCCGGCCACATCAAAGCAATTCTCATCTTGGTGGAGCTAATCATGTAAATACAGTCATAATAAAACTGTACTTTAATGTGTACTTTAATCATATAATTCGTTACTTGACTCTCTAAAATACTAATTCTAATTTTTCATATAACGATGCTAAATTATGTCGTTTGTTATGCCTAAAATAATAATAAACTTGTTCTTTGATAGTTGAATATCTTAATATGATTCAGAGTTTTCTATAATTTAATAATTATAATAAAACACCGTAAACTACTGTTTAAATATTTGTGGAAAGAAGTCTTTTATTCTCACCAAGGCTGCATTTATTTGACTACAAATGCAGGAAAAACAGTAATATTGTAGAATATTATTACAATTTCAAATAACTGAATATATATTAAAATAATTAATTTAGGATCAAAGCTGAATTTTCAGCATCATTCCTCCAGTCTTCAGTGTCACATGATCCTTCAGAAATCATTCTAATATGCTGAGTTGCTGATCATGAAACATTTCTGATCATTATCAATGTTGAAGACAGTTGTGCTGCTTCATATTTTTGTGGAAACCGTGATGCATTTTATTTCTCAGGATTCACAGATGAATAGAAAGTTCAAAAGAACAGCATTTATTTGAAAACGAAAACTTTGTAACATTATTAATGACTTCAGTCACTTTTGATCAATTTAATGCACCCTTGCTAAACAAAAGTACCAATTGACAGACAGACAGACAGACAGACAGATAGATAGATAGATAGATCTGACCTCAAACTTCTGCAGATGTCCGAGGCCTGGTGTTGTTGATTACAGGCATGGCTGCTTCCTTCCTCTAATTAACATCATCCGGCCACATCAAAGCAATTCTCATCTTGGTGGAGCTAATCATGTAAATACAGTCATAATAAAACTGTACTTTAATGTGTACTTTAATCATATAATTCGTTACTTGACTCTCTAAAATACTAATTCTAATTTTTCATATAACGATGCTAAATTATGTCGTTTGTTATGCCTAAAATAATAATAAACTTGTTCTTTGATAGTTGAATATCTTAATATGATTCAGAGTTTTCTATAATTTAATAATTATAATAAAACACCGTAAACTACTGTTTAAATATTTGTGGAAAGAAGTCTTTTATTCTCACCAAGGCTGCATTTATTTGACTACAAATGCAGGAAAAACAGTAATATTGTAGAATATTATTACAATTTCAAATAACTGAATATATATTAAAATAATTAATTTAGGATCAAAGCTGAATTTTCAGCATCATTCCTCCAGTCTTCAGTGTCACATGATCCTTCAGAAATCATTCTAATATGCTGAGTTGCTGATCATGAAACATTTCTGATCATTATCAATGTTGAAGACAGTTGTGCTGCTTCATATTTTTGTGGAAACCGTGATGCATTTTATTTCTCAGGATTCTTTGATGAATAGAAAGCTCAAAAGAACAGCATTTATTTGAAATAGAAATCTTTTGTAAAGGTCTTCACTGGCACTTTTGATCTATTTAATGCGTCCTTGCTAAATAGAAATACTAATTTCATTTACTGGCCCCAAACTTTTGAACGCTAGTGTATATTAACATTATCTGACACTGAGAGGATTTACTTACTTGGTAGACTTGGCAAGGATACGCTAGCTTAGCAAGCTAACATGCGTTGTCGTCTCCAGGTGTCCCCGTGCCAAAGGCTTCATTCATCGCTTCCTCCTCTGCCGCTGTATGAGCAGCCGCCCTGCAGTCCGTACACGAGCCCCGAGACCAGCAGCGCCCCCTCGCTACCCCGCTCGCCGTCTGTCAACGGAGAACTCAAACTGCCCATCCCGCAGAAAGCTGCCGTTCATAGTAAGACACTAGTCACCACAGATACTGCGTCATGTGTTCCTCTGTGTATTTGAGTCTGTCAGTGTTTTCATTTGAGAATGTTTTTCATTTGGTTTAGATCACAATTCCAGCTTGAGTCCAGAGAGCCCAGGCTTCTCTCAGCCGCTGAGACTCACTCCGGACGGATCCGGCCCCGGAAAACTCAGACCTGTATGTCAACAACACAGCGCTAAGGATTTGCTTAGTCTCAAATGTGTTTTTTATGCTTTTATAAACATTGTGCATTTTAAAGTCGTTATGTGTAAGATTTTGCCATTTTCAGTATTATTTAAATTAAAACGAGATGCTATTATAGATTTTATTAATATTTTGTGGTATGAATATCTGAACATGCAATACATCAAAATAAAGAACAGACCCTCTACTTTTAAACAAAAAAATCTGTTTTATTTTAGCTTCAAACATAATTTTTTTATCAATACTTGAATACAGGTAGGTTTCATTAAAAAAAACTAGATTTTGAGCAAAAAGCTGAGAAAATCGCATTTTTATCAAATACTACATCTGGATCATATTATTATCAAAGCAAAGATGCAGTAAATGGCTTCCATTAGCACTCCTAAAGCTTGCACAGTCCTTTACCACTTCCTGGATCGCCATTTCACTTGGTAACATTAGGCAGTTTTCATTAATGTGCTGTTTATTGTTGATGATCGCATTATTTTTCATATGCATACATAGGAGATCGCTCGTTTCTGCGTCTTCCTCATTTGTGTTTTTGATCGGCACATTCTAGACTCATTCAGGAGATCCGTAATAGTGCCCCCGAGTGTATGATAGCGAGAACGTGGAAACCTGGAAAATTCCGTGTTTGGCGGGGAAGCGTTGTCTCATAAAACCCAGAAAATTCCGTGTTTGGCAGGGAAGCGTTGTCTCATAAAACCTGGAAAATTCCGTGTTTGGCGGGGAAGCGTTGTCTCATAAAACCTGGAAAATTCCGTGTTTTTCGGGGAAGCGTTGTCTCATAAAACCTGGAAAATTCCGTGTTTGGCGGGGAAGAGTTAATAAGGTTTAAGACATTCTTTTTTTTTAACAATTGAGCACTTTTTCCCGACTCAATTCTCTCTTTTTATTAATAGTAAAATAATAATAATTTAATGTATGTATTTATTTAAATAATTTATAATATATTCAATACTTATATTATATAATTGTTATATACATTATATATATATATATATATATATTAGGGGTGTAACGGTTCACAAAATTCATGGTTCAGTTCGATACGACACACTGGTGTCACGGTCGCAATGTTGGAAATATTTCTGACGAGAGACGAATCTACTTCAACATATGCTGATTGATAACGGTATATAGCTAACTGTTTTAATTTATTCCCTTTATATTTCTCTTGTGACCCGTACATAGTGGAAAAAATTAGAAGAAACATATTTCGTGTTACACAGGTTGTTTTAATAAGTCGGTGCTTGAAATAAAAGCTTTTTATTTCAGTGATTTTTATTGATGACTGCAGTGTTAATATTTTAATTATAGGCCTGTAATTCATTGTATAATAGACCTGTTTTAAAATATCTTTTTTTTTTAAACATTTTAATTGAGGAGTAAATAGCCTAATCTTTTGTTATCCTCACAGCGCGTCAGTTATGTGCTAATTAATGCGGGGCAAGTGAATTGTAATCTTAATTTAATGAAAAAAAGTAACTTCTTAATAATAATAGGCCTAGTAAAAATAAGAATGTAACGGGCCAGATCCTCTTAATATTACCAATAATTTATGTTTTTGACAACATCTCTGGCTATCGTCGTTTGGGCTGCCTTGTTGAGCGCAGTGGCACTGAGAAAATTATATTTCAAACATTTTACGCTCTTTTATTTTCTAAATGTAATAGAATTAGTCCAATGAATCGTTCGGTTTGTAATGCGCACCTAACCGAAAGCCTCGTACCGAACGGTTCAATACGAATACGTGTATCGTTACACCCCTAATATATATGAATTACTGTTTATTATTATATTTTATTGTATAAATATTATATTGTAAATATAAGAAAATAAATGTATATTATTTATAAATGTTATGTATATTATTTCTATTATTTATACTTTTTTTTTTTTCGGGGGACTTACACATTTTCTCTTGTGAATATATTATAGGCTTCCTCTTCTCTATTAAACGCTGTTCTTTTTTGTCTGTAGGTTCGGGCGGCACCTCCTCCTCCAAAGCAGCACGTGCGCCGACAGGTGGAGAAAACCGAAGAGGTGGAGATCACGCTGGTGTAGAGCGCCGCCCTAGTGGACTGAGAACAAACCCCATCTGACCTCTAACCCCTCCCACTCCTCACGGAGGGGGCGGGGCATGTGTTACCCGCCCTATGAGCATCCTTAGATCCCGAAGGGGCGGAGAACAGCATCTCAAAGGCATCCCTTTTCATAAAAACAAACACCTCTTTTGGCGTCACAGACTGTTTGGTGCCTTAAACCGCTTTCATGCCAAACTCTAATCCTTGTATTCGTAATTACGTTATCTTGCAACGGGAGCTTGTTTAAAACTTTGTTAATCCACTCGATGCCAGTTAATTTTCACAAAATTGAGGTTGATGTGTAAGTGTGTGTCTAAAAACATAGAAAGGAATCAAGGGATAGCGAGAGTTTTAAAGAGGCTACACTTTTTACGGCTTTAGAAGAGCCAAACATGCGATACTAGGAATTGTGGGATGATACGGGAGTGAAAAAGGGGTCAGCCACGAATAGTCCTACCATTTACGTATTTCATATGTAATAGCACAGTACATTACTGTCGTCATAGGAATGTTGTATTCACGTTAAACATCGCAGATCATAATGGAGAAAGGGAACTACATAAAAGGCTACAAGGAAAAAGAGTGGTAGAGGAGAACGAGGGTTAAAAAGAGAGGAAGGCTGGTTACTTCACTCGGTTTAGCTTCTTTCTGTCTTGTGTTGATCTGAGAAAAGTACTAACAACATAGCTATATCCTTTTCCTCAAATTGTCATTATGAAAACCAGTGTTTGTATGTATTACTAATATTTAGTCCTCAGAAACACGCGACCTAAAGACGCGTCTGTGAGCGCGAGGCGGCGAATATTCTGCGTCTGCTCGGGCGGAACGTAATCCTGGAAATATACCGATCAATATACAAGTATCAGTTAAAGTGCTTTTCCAGCCTAACGCATTTCTCATTGTCATGTGTCGGCACTGTAGAGGGACTGAACGAATGTGCTGTGTTTCTTTTATGGCAGAGTTTAGGGTGAATGTGATGAGAAAGATTCCCACCAACAAGCACAGAAAAGGTGGATCATCGTGGAGATTTTTCTTTTTAATTATTGCCGACGAACGCAAACCTATTATCGTGTCCTAAGTGCATTTCCTCCCTACAAGGGGCAGCTATGTTTGTTTTTTTAAGAGTTTCTTTGTCTTTTTTTTTTGCAGTTGAAGAGACATTTCATTTTAAATAAGCAATGGCTGTATGATTTATGATTTTCATTCATTTCCACAGTATTTTCATGCATATCTTGATCTTTTTCTGGAGTTTCAGTGCTTTGACCTCTTAATTTTATCTTGTTTTTTTAATGTCCTTGTGTCCCAGCTGCCTCTTTTAGATGATGAAGCTGCCCAGCGTCGTGTTATTGATCTCGTTAGAGAGGGACTGATTGTAGTTTTCCCATAACGTTTGAAAGAGAACAGAGTTATTATGTTGATTCCATAATATAGACAGTGGAAAGAATTTTTAAAAAAAATCCATTTTGTGAAATGGTACCATAGTTCTGTTAAGCAAGAACAGGGTCATGACGAAAAGAACGTGTGCGAGACGTGGAAGGAAAAAAAAACAAAACGTTTGTTTGGTAGCCTTTTTTTAATCCGAGCGGAAGATGTTTTGAGTATCTTCCTTTGTTTCTATTTTCCTCTGTCACAACCTATTTTCTTGTTGATCTCGTTGAGATCTTTTGAATGTTATCAAACTTGTTTTGAAGTTTATGGTTAGAGGTTAAAGCCCATTGTGTCAAAAACTGTTCTCGCCTACGGAGCGAACGCAAATTTTGATATTTTCATTTGCATTTTTTTTCAATTGCGCTCCCAGTTTTCTCGGCCAGTTTCAACTCTTTGGAGCTTCTTCAATAGCATTAGCTGCATATTCTAGTTCTTTATAAAGTGATTTTATTTGCGTTTATTAAAATTTGAAGGTGATTCCGAGCTGCTAGACAAAAAAAACAGATGGAATAACAACAATTGACTGTTGCTGCAGTGACAATATCAGAGAACAGGTGAAAAATATTCTTTCTGCATATTATTAGCTGTAAAATGATTTGTATTTATTGTGTACAAATGTTAAATAAAAAACTGGGGAAAGTGATTCTCTTTGTTTTTTAGTTTTTTATGGATGTGGCTAGATGTAAATGCATCAATTGCAACTTCAAATCAGTCACAAATCTTTTTATTTCTTTATTTTATACATTGTATTTGTTTCATGTTTAGTGTTTATTTTCATAGAAAATTTTATAATTATATTCAGACATGCCCCACATTTTAGTAAAATAGCTGCAAAAAAAAATAAAGTGGACAAACATTTGAAGACAAAGACATTTGAACATCTAAAGGTTAAATACCTCCTTTCAATATTTTTCTAAAGCTTTCTTGTGAATATGAGATTTTGTTTATATTTTTAAAGATTTTTTAAGAAATGTAATTTAAAATTTAAATGTTTATATTAATTTTTATGTTTTTTTTAAATACTTCAAATGTTGTACTATACTTCCTGTAGGATGCTAGATGTGTGAATGTTTTAAAATTGATTTAAAATCTAGAATGTGTTTTTGTCGCATGATATCAGACTGTTTTGTCAAATCATGCTGCTTGTCAGTCAGCTTTCAAAAGAGTGGGCGGTTCTCCCAGAGTTCCATGTAAATAACAGAGACATGTTTCCTGCTGGGAAATGAGATATGAGACAAAACATGCAGTCTCCCTCCTCTCTCCATCCACAGGGTAATGAGTGTGGATTTTTCACATATTTCTGCAAGAACAAAATGTTTCAGCATGTTAATTGTATGCGGCCACATGGAATGAATGAGAAACTTTCTCTCTGAAGGGAATTAGATGGCTTGTGTTAAAGTTTATTTGTGCTCCAACCCAGAAGGTACGTATCACAGTCTGTTTTAGGCTAATCTTAAATGTTTATATGCCTACAGATTAAGCTAACCTTGTATGGACGTTATAATGTCTGCAGGCATTCATTTACTTTTTTAAATGATGTTTTTTGAAAGGAATAAAAGCATAACTATTCCAAAGTATAACTAACTTTAATACAATTAACAATCTTAATAATATAGGGAATAATTAACTACCAGCACATCTTTAATGAAGGAGATGTTGCATTTGGTTTTATTTGTAGTTTAGCGGTTAAATTGTTAAAGAAAAAAAATGACCCTCATGTCATTCCAAACCCATATGACTCTTCTGAGCGTCACATGCACATTTAATATGCACATGTGCAAATTGGATTTAATAGGCATGCAGGTTTGGAAAGACATAAGGATTAATAAATGACAGTATTTACATTTTTTAAAGTGTACAATTCCTTTGAAACTTGATTTTATTCATCAGAAAATGACTGGATTGTGAAAAGTGGTCTGGAGGGGGGAGGGTTGCAAATAATGTGGAGCAAGGTATTATTTTAATAAAAGATTATGACTTTTCCCCCCCTTTCGAAATAACATGTACCAATGAATCGCTCATAGTAAGATGAGGAAAGTGCATTAAAAAAAGTAAACTGGGTCAACTTTTAACTAAATCTGATCTAGAAAGTGATGGGTAAAGTTGAATCACAACTGAAATGTTGCCTCGTGTAAACTGTTGCAGAATCTGTGGTTGAGAGGAGGTTACTAAGGCAGAGAGTTTTCCCCAGACTGAGGGAATACTGCAGATGCACGTACGGAGTCGAGTTCAGAGTGAGCAAACATTCATCATTTCTTTTTTCACATCTTCTGTCAGTATGTAAAGTGTTTGATCAGCTTGTAAATAATCTAATTCTGAAGAACATTACAGTTGTGTTGCTTCCAGTTGACAATAACAAATGATTTCACAAGCAATTGTGTTTTAAGCCATAAACATGAATAAATAATGGTTATTTCTTTCATTGGGACATCGAGCATTTAACAGGCCCTTCATAGTAAGATGAGGAAAGTGCATTCAAAAAAGTAAACTGGGTCAACTTTTAACTAAATCTGAGCTAGAAAGTGATGGGTAAAGTTGAATCACAACTGAAATGTTGCCTCGTGTAAACTGTGTTGCAGAATCTGTGGTTGAGAGGAGGTTACTAAGGCAGAGAGTTTTCCCCAGACTGAGGGAATACTGCAGATGCACGTACGGAGTCGAGTTCAGAGTGAGCAAACATTCATCATTTCTTTTTTCACATCTTCTGTCAGTATGTAAAGTGTTTGATCAGCTTGTAAATAATCTAATTCTGAAGAACATTACAGTTGTGTTGCTTCCAGTTGACAATAACAAATGATTTCACAAGCAATTGTGTTTTAAGCCATAAACATGAATAAATAATGGTTATTTCTTTCATTGGGACATCGAGCATTTAACAGGCCCTCCTACTGTCTCATCTAAACATCATGCATTTTTAATTGTGCAAATAACAAAAGGCTGACTGGGTTAGTATTGAACTTCTTGTTAACACTATTTCTATACTGCTTTCTGAGAGCATGTTAGTAGACAGTTACGGTGCATAAAACACTGTGGTTTTTTTGGCTAATAGATGGCATCTAGGCCACCAACACAAGGTCTTTATTGAATCATTTGCATCCTCCCTCTACAAGAACTAACAATACAAAAAAGCAGAAAATTGTCTGTTGATCCAACCTGTCTGCAGGGTATTGACCCGTATGAAGCAGCAGAACCCAAAAACTGGCCTTCGCAGAGGAAACGACTGCAAATTCTGGAGGACTGCAGGAAGAATTCTCTGGGGCCTTTCTTTGTGGTAACATTTGTTTCAGTACAGTATGATTATTTAATTGTAGGTATATGGTAGATTTTACTTGATACAACAGCTCTAAAATAGTTACAAACATTTTATACAAACAATAAGCCATTTATGGTCATGTGTTCCTAGCGTGCAGAGATGTTACCATGCTTAAAGTAATTCTAGGTACTTCACATTGGAGCAACGCTTGTTGCATGCAGAGCTCATAAAAGGATTAGTTCACTTCCAGAATAAAACATTTCCTGATAATTTTCTCACCCCCATGTCATCCAAGATGTTCATGTCTTTCTTTCTTCAGTCACAAAGAAATTACGTTTTTTGAGGAAAACATTCCAGGATTTTTCTCCATATAGTGGACTTCAATGGCGGCCAACGGGTTGAAGGTCCAAATTGCTATTTGGAATAAGGGTCTTATCTAGCCGTTTTCTAAAATAATAATAATTATATACTTTTTGACCACAAATTCTCATCTTGCTCTGCAATGTGCATGTGCAGTTCTTCGTCTGTGTACTTCAGTTCAAAAAGGTAGAGTGGGGCAAAGAACTCCATCTCATTTTCTCCTCCAACTTCAAAATTGTCTGACATCGTTGTTTTACTTTTTGCAAAGGGCGTTTGACTTTCTTTGCACATTCGCTTTGTAAACACTGGGTTGGTACTTCCGCCTACGTCACGCATTACCTTTCCAACGTCTACGTAATGAGGTCGAGCTAGTGCAAGACGAGCATTTGTGGTTACATTTTTATATTTATATTTTGTATAATTTTTTATTTTTTTTTTAGAAAATGACAGATCGTTTTGCTAGATACGTCCCTTATTCCTCAGCTAGGATCGTGTAGAACCCTTTGAAACTACATTGAAACTGCAACCTGTTGGCCACCATTGAAGTCCACTATATGGTGAAAAATCCTGGAATGTTTTCCTCAAAAACCTTAATTTTTATGCAACTGAAGAAGAAAGAAAGACATGAACATCTTGGATGACATGGAGGTGAGTAAATTATCAGGAAATTTGCTAACAGTTTAGTTTAAGGTGTCATTGTTACACATGTTACATGTACTTACTATTATAATAGCAATTAATTATGCATAATTACATGCAAGTAAGTAACCATAAACCAAACCCTAATCCTAACCCTAACCATATATTAAGTGTGTGTAATTAATCAATGTAATTCAGTACGTAAATGTATAATACTGTAACACGGACACCTTAAAATAAAATGTAACCGAAATTGTTTATTTTGGAAGTGAACTAATCCTTTAATATATGGAAAATAAGTGATATTTGAAGAGTTAATTTGCAAAAACCGATAACTTTATTTTTTTTTCAGAAATCACGTTTTTTTTATTGCGCATTCCAAGTGAAAGTGGCATTTATCGGTTTGTGCAAATGAGCTCTTCATTTGGGGTGGGAAAGTTTTTTTCCCTTTTTCTCATCTCTCAAAAACATTTACCAAATGAATGAGCTTCAGTTGTTGTCTCTCATTTCAGGGGTTGGTGGGTGAACAGTATGGAGATGCATGTTTACCTGAGCAGATCGAAGCCTCTGAGTTCCAGCATGTTCTCAAAGTATGCCAGCAGATGGGCCTTAGGACTGAGATTTTGGAGAGATGCTACCAGAGAGATGAAAATGCCATTCCTCCCTCTTTCTGTATTCTAAATCCAGCAGGACATTTGAAACACTCTGGTGTCCAGGCAAGTAACATGTTTTGCATTATTGGTGCACAGAACCGGATAATTTAGCTAAAGTCCTTAATCTTTCATCATTAGCGAGAGAATCCAAATGAAGAGAACAACTGGTGCGAGGTTCTTCCAGAGGTGAGGAGAATCCTTCATGATGTTGTGACCCAGTGTGTTCAGGAGGGGATTATGACACATGAAGAAGCTCAGAAATATTTCCGATCAGGTAAGTCACTGTCTTTGTCAAATTGCATAATTTTGCAGCATATTCCAAATCAAAACTGTCTAATTTATGATTATCACACCAGCTCTTGAAAACGACATCCGCTATGCATATGAAGACCATTCCAGTGAAGATATTGCAAGATGTCTTTGCTACGTTCATAAAATAACTAACCCAAGGAAAGCAATTGGATTGCCTCCAGAGAAACAAGCCCAGTTGCACCAGCTGACCCAGCTCCGAGACCACTTCCTGCCAAGCATGGTTGCTTTCCACAAAGCCCAGGTGTACAGCACCACCACGAAGTGCAATCATGGTTACACACCTGAGATGAGGCTCAACTTCGCTGTTGGTCTGAGTGAGCAGCTACATACAGATCTCAAGAGACTCATTGACAGTGCTGTCTCAAATGAGAGGGCTGTTACAGTCGATGAATTTGGCCAGAGAGATCTGTGCCGCATCTTTTCTTCTCTTTACAGAATTGAACGGGCAGAAGTCGAACATGTCAAATCATACCTAGAGGGAAAAAGTACAAAATTTCCCTTCATACTCAACGGTAGACCATGCTCAGGCAAAACTGTGCTTCTGGCTCACTGTGCAAGTCAGGTATGCCTGTTTTGCAACCTTCCCTTTTAAAATAAGCAATATTTTGGGTTGAATACTTTTAGTATTATATTCTGTGACATTAATATGATCTTTTGCATTTGCAGGCATCCGTATGGTTGAAGAACCTGGATCCCGAGATCCTTGTGTACTTCATAGATGTCAACAACTCACTGAGACAGCTTCTCAAAAACATTTGTAAAAGGGTTGATTCAAGTAGTACCTGTGTCAACAACATCTTTCAGCTAAAAGAAAATTTCAAAAGACTCCTGACCGCAAGATCACCATCCAAGAATCCTTTGGTGCTCATCATAGATGGTCTTGACCAACTGCCAAAGACTGATGGACAACTCGACTTGACATTACTTCCCGAGTCATTAGCTCCAAATGTAAAGCTTCTCATTTCTATAAATGTAAACCGGCTTGATCTTCTTGCTACTCTGAAGAAGTATTACCCAGATTCAACTGTGTTCTGTGAGCTGCATGAAGTAGAAAGTAAAAGCTGCAGCCAGCTTCTGACAAGACTTCTTCAGGAGTCCAACAGAAAGATCACCTCAGGCCAACAGATGTATGTGAATCAGGCTTTTAAGAAATGCTCTGTCTCACTATATGTGGAACTCCTTCACAGACAGACGATCCACTGGAAGTCAGAGTTTGAGATTACGGAGAACTCTCTGGTCCAAGAGGTCCATAATAACATTGTTCTGATGTTTGATCATCTGGAGAAGAAGCATGGGAAAACTGTAGTCTCCAAAGCTTTAAGCTATCTTACCTTGGCCAGGTACGGCATGACCGCAGCTGAGCTGACTGATGTTCTTTCTTGTGATGATGAAGTTCTCGCATCTTTCCTTCCACCAGGCGATAGCGTACCACTTACAGTGAGGGTTCCTGAAGTTTTTGTGGAAAGTCTTCTTTCAGACCTGAAGGGGTGTCTAGTGCTGAGGAACATTTTAGGTACCCAAACTCTTTTCTGGGTCAGCAGACACTTCCCCTTGGTCGTATGTAAGAGGTACCTGTGCTCAGAGGAAACAAGTCAGAAGATACATCATGTGCTGTTAGACTATTTTAGTGGCTCCTGGGCAAATGGCACAGCAAAGCCTTTGATCGTCAATGAAGACATGAAAATGCCAAGCTCTTCAGATGCCCCACAGAATATTAACATTGACAGGCAAGTACCAAGTCAACCTTGGATTTTTTCTCCTCCTTTCTATATCTCTGCTGCCAAGAGTCCATCAGCAAGAACACATCCCAATTTGAGGAAACTCCACATACTCCCTTTCCATTTGTTGAAAAGTGGGAGAATTGAGGAGCTTGGTAACCAAATGATTTCTCAGCAATACCTTCAGGCAATGCTGCAAGCAGAACTGGCTGACGAACTGTTCCTGTGGCTTGAGAGGACATCTCAATTGCTGTTTCCCAGGGAACTTCAGCTACTCCACATCATCTTGAGATCTTCAGCTTGTCTGCTGAGGAACAACCCTGCCGATCTGCCAACAGTACTGCAAGCCAAACTTATTCCTTTTCTGAATGTTTTTCCTACATTGGAAGAATGTGCCAATCCGCCAAGGTCTGAAGGTATTATCCCAAAAAATGGAGTGTATACTGTGTTGCCTCCAGTTCCTGCAGTACCTTACACCCACTGTACACCGCAAGAGTCGACAGCTTCCCGAATCATACAGTCAACTGGATCTTCCTGTGGCACTGTGGTGGTTGTACTGGAGAATGGTGCTGCTTGGGTTTGTAATGGAGGTATATTTGAAGGCTTCAGACTAACCCAATCCTCTAAACTGCATTTCACGAGTGTCAGTAGCTCTGGAAACAAATTCCTTCTGAGCACCCATTGTGGTAAACTTATCTTGTGGGATGCAGGTGTTAACACAAAGCCTCAAGAAATTCAAACCCAAAACAGGGAGAACACCATTCTTGAGGGTGTCTTGGTGTCTAATGACAAACTCTTTGTATGGTGGAGAGGACAAAACATTGTTAATGTATTTGTCGATAGAGAGGAACAGACCGAACTGCACTGCACTTATGAGATAACCTGTGTGACATGTTCTGAGGAAGGTGATATAATTTACTGTGGACAGAAAGAAAGTTCTGTGACAATATTTGATTGGTCCAATGGTCAGCTTCTAGCCACCTTTACTTGTCCAAAAGAAATGCCATTAATTGATATGATTCTCTCTGAGGGTGACGGGATGATTACATGTGTAGATCAAGCAGGAAACATGTTTGCTTGGAATCTTAAGATCATAACAGAACCAGTTCTGATTTGTGAGAACCACTGCACAACCCAGGGGAAGGTGTTAAATACAGACTACAAAGGGGACAATGTTCTCCTAATATGTAAAAAGCAACAAATGCAACTCATTGACATTCATCAAACTGATGTACTTGACCAATTCAATCCCCCAAAAGGCAAAACATTTAAGAAAGCCATAATGGATCAAAACTCACGCTTCATCCTTGCTTTACTGTGCAATTGCCCGTTTCTGCTGGTCTGGAATTGTGCCTCTGGACAGTGTGTGTTGAGTCTGGACACTGCAAACTGTCAAGCTGTTAAACTTCTGAAATGTGGGGCCACTTACCTGGCAGCAATAACAAGCATAAGTGTTCTTATTTGGGACATGGATCTCATTACAGCTTCAGCATTGGCACCAAAATCTGGAAAGAGGGTGGAGATGGTGGCTGTGGGATCTCATGGAGAAAGTTGTTACTCTTCGGATGGCTCCAAACTTATTTGGAAGTGGGGGGTATCAAGTGGCAAATTAGAAGGCCACTTCCTTCACCAAGGTACTGTGGAGTCTATGTCTGTCTCTGGAGATGGCAACTACCTTGTGAGTATTGCAACTGGAGACATATATGTCTGGGAAACCAGTAGTGGGGGAAATATTTACAGAATCTCTAATAGTCAAGCTTACAAGGTTCTAATAACACCCAAGGGCAACTCCGGAGTTGCACTATCAGAGACAGGTCCATCAAGGGTGTGGAAATTGCAGAATGGACATGGGATTTGCAGCATTCATCTTCATCTCAGAAATGCCACCATTTCTCCAGAGAGCACCTTCCTTTTAGGACTTCACAGTGGGGATCTCTTGGCTGTTAGCCTCTGGTCTGGTAATGTAAGCAAATGCTTCTCATGCTCTGACCGGTCACATGTTGTTGCTTTCCATTCTCTGCTTGACCATCCAGATTACGTGATTGTATCTTCAGCCTCAGGCGATGTATACTCCTGGAGGTTAACAGAGGATACTATTTGTCATCAATTCCAGCTGCCAGACTCTTTTTTGTGCCAACCGGAGATATTTAGACTATCATCAGATGGAGGTTATGCCCTCCTTTCAATATCTGAATCCACTATAAACATCTTAGATTTCTCCAACAGTAAACTGTGCTCTTTGAGAACCGAAGGACCTGTTCTGCAACAATATGCATCTGTAGGTGTTTTTGGACAATATGTGGTCTATATATGTTTCTCCTCTCTGGTGTGCCAAAATATATCCTGTGATCTCCATGAGAAGCCGATGCTGGTAGCCATACGTCTGACTGATGGGGAGACCGTAGGCAGGTTCTATTTGTGCAAGAACCCCTCTACTATGACTGTTTCTGAGGATTTTTTTGTGTATGTGGGGTTTCAGGATGGCTCTGTTGGGGTTTATTCTGTTAATGACACCAAGAAAGGTAAAAGCAGCTGGAAGGAGGATGTTCTAAGCCCAACACATTTGTGTCCAATGGATGAGCAATTGATTTGGTCACCTCTAGAAAAACCTAACCTTACTTGGGTTGAATTGCCCCTGCAGTTGTATTAAATAATTCCAGTGTGTAGTTCTTTTACAATGTTCTAAAGTGCTAAGACCGCATTTGTAATATGTGTTATACATATGTTTATCATATTAAAAAATGTAAATATGTTCACTTGTCTCATACCTCAGGATTCAATAAGATGAGAAAGCAGGTGTGAAAATTAAGCTGTACAATTTTATACAAAATAAAATTCTCTCATGGAGTATCACACTATATTTACCGTATTATATATTTTTAAATTATTTTTATCAATTTCTTTTTTATTTTTTTATTTACATATTTATTTATTGTTGAATTGCATAGCCACACAGCATAATTTTGTTTACTTTGTATTCTATCATTCTAACAATTAGCCTACAATAACTGGGTAATAACTAGGTACTAACCCTGAACCTAACCCTAAACCTAAACTTTAACCCATACCTTATACTACCAGTGCTTTTTGAGTAAGTACACTAAGTACACATGCTGTAAAATAAAGTGTGACCAGACTTTTTGTATTAAAGCTAAAAAGTAGTTAAATATTAGTTTTATTTTTTAATGTATAGATAATAATGTTTAAGAAGATTGTAATGGTCCAACTTGGTCCAAAAGAAAAAATAAAATAAAATTCCTAAAGAAAAAAAGGTAGTTACGTTTGTTTGTTTACTTCTTTGTTAATTTGATGTTTTTAATGTAGTTAGCTACTTAGTAGTTACTTGTAAAGTTGCTTAGCCCAAAAAAGAATGAAGAGAAATATATTGATCTTACATTATTAATTTTATTCATACACAAACATCTATCTGTTTATCCTATTAAAACATTTGTTATGAAACATTTAATCCATATCCTATTAAAACATGTATTTAAAGGACGGCAATTGCAATATCGTAGGCTGTATTAATGTTCCACAATTTAAACCCTTAACTAAAAAGAGATTACCGCGTGTGATGTGAGAACTACAATTCCCATCATTACTCACAGTCATACGGAAGTGGTTCGTTACCATAAACGCACTTCCGCTACATTGCCAATTCCTTTCCTGTCTGCGGCCTCCGGCAAGATGACAGTGCAAATCTCGAAGAAGAGAAAGGTTGGTACGAATTTCATTTCAAAGTTGTGTAATTAAAGCGCAGAAGTGCAAAATAAGAGCGGCGCCTGAATACTATGGTACTTAACCATAACCTAAGCTGTTCAGATGAGGGTTTAATAAGGATGTTGAGGTGGATTGAGCTGGATGCTGTCGGCTCCGAATCTGATGAGAAACATGGCAGGTGAACGCAACACTGATCTTATATTGAAGCGGTTCAAATGTGTAAAATGCAACGTTACATTTAAGCACATTATATGTTTCAGGAAGCTAGTGTTAATATGACTGCTAGAAATTGACACTATATTCAGGTATGGACCTTGTAAAGTGGAATATATAAGCAGTACATGCATCACAAATGTGTTATAATAGCAGTTTTGTCTTATTTTTGATTGACATTTGTGACCCTGGACCACAAAACCAGTCATAAGGGTCAAGTCAATTTTTGAAATTGAGATTTATACATCATCTGAAAGCTGAATAAATAAGCTTTCCATTGATGTATGGTTTGCTAGGGTAGGACAATATTTGGCAATATCTGGAATCTGAGGGTGCAAAAAAATCAAAATAGTGAGAAAATCGCCTTTAAAGTTGTCCAAACGAAGTTCTTATCAATGCATATTACTAATCAAAAATTAAGTTTTGATATTTACGTTAGGAAATTTACAAAATATCTTCATGGAACATGATCTTTATTTAATGTCCTAATGATTTTTGGCATAAAAGAAAAATGGATAATTTTGACCCATACAATGTATTTTTGGCTATTGCTACAAATATACCCCAGTGACTTAAGACTGCTTTTGTGCTCCAGGGTCACATTTGTCATGGTATTCAACACATATTGCAAGATGTTAATGTTCATATGAGACTCATTTGTCTGTCATTTTATTTCTACATCAGAAGACATAATCATGTCAATGTTTCTCTATCAGTTTGTGTCGGATGGCATCTTCAAAGCCGAGCTGAATGAGTTTCTGACCCGAGAGCTGGCCGAGGATGGGTACTCCGGGGTAGAGGTCCGTGTCACGCCAACAAGAACAGAAATCATCATCCTAGCCACCAGGTGTGAACCGTTTACTCGCATTTGAGTTTATTTCCATTACATTACATGCTTAAAACGTGCATTTAAAAGCATTGACATGGGTTAACTCGAGCATAGAGTGTAATGACTTTAATGCAATGTAAGTGTAATGACCGTTTGTCTCTTCAGGACCCAGAATGTTCTGGGAGAGAAAGGCCGCCGCATTCGTGAACTGACTGCCGTCGTTCAGAAACGATTCGGGTTCCCTGAAGGCAGTGTGGAGGTGAGATTAGTGCTAAACACAGACGTAAATGGGGTCCAAAACTAGTTTGTAACTGCATGTTCTGAAGTATTGGATTGTTTGTTTGTAGCTGTATGCTGAGAAGGTGGCCACCCGGGGTCTCTGCGCCATCGCTCAGGCAGAGTCTCTGCGTTACAAGCTGCTTGGAGGACTGGCTGTCCGTAGGTGAGTGTTCACTTCCCAGCATGCTTTGGGCTCCCGACTGAAATTCCCTTCAGTGATGATACGATGACGAGTCGGAACGGGGCCGGTTCTGTCTCTGAGGTTTCTGGGTCAGGCTCACGTTCTGTGCGTCTGACTTCAGGTCCTCGAAGCAGTGAGTCCTGTTTGCTTGAAGACATAGAGGCATTTGTCTGAGAAGGATGGATGGAAAGCAGGCAGCGTGTTTTATTTGGAGTCTAGATTATTTTTCATGTCCTTGTCCTGCATGTTTATGGTTGTATACCATGTCTGTTGTCCTCAGGGCCTGCTACGGTGTTCTGCGCTTCATCATGGAGAGCGGGGCCAAGGGTTGTGAGGTGGTCGTCTCTGGTAAACTGAGAGGTCAGAGAGCCAAATCCATGAAGTTTGTGGATGGCCTGATGATCCACAGCGGAGACCCTGTAAACTACTACGTCGACACTGCTGTCCGCCACGTACTGCTCCGTCAGGGTGAGTAAGAGTCACAGAGTGATGGTTCTCTGGAAACTTCATTTGTGTCCGATCTTTAGCTGTGGAAATGTTTTGAGAAAAAGTGTGGGGAAAAATAAATTAAAATGAGTAAATACAGTATTATGAGTAGGAAAAATTAAATATCTCAGTATTTTCTAAATATCATTTTAGACAATTTATAAGCACTATGAATTTGTCATCTTCAGCACATTGCATTTTAATAGGGGAAATGTTTAGAGAAACTTAAAAAATGAGAATACAGTGTATAATTTTTCTAATATTATTTTAGACATATAAGTAGCCTACTGTAGATTTTCATTTGTCAAATCTTAAGTGAAGTGTATTAGTGTAAAAAAAAAAATAGATCATGGTTTTTATATATAGAAAAAAGTAATATAGAATGATGATTAGAAAGAAATATATAATTTAACTTACTAAACTAAATGATTTCCTAATAATTGAGACATATTTGCAGTATTGGATGGCCTGATGATCCACAGCGGAGACCCTGTAAACTACTACGTCGACACTGCTGTCCGCCACGTACTGCTCCGTCAGGGTGAGTAAGAGTCACAGAGTGATGGTTCTCTGGAAACTTCATTTGTGTCCGATCTTTAGCTGTGGAAATGTTTTGAGAAAAAGTGTGGGGAAAAATAAATTAAAATGAGTAAATACAGTATTATGAGTAGGAAAAATTAAATATCTCAGTATTTTCTAAATATAATTTTAGACAATATATATAAGCACTATGAATTTGTCATCTTCAGCACATTGCATTTTAATAGGGGAAATGTTTAGAGAAACTGTTAAAAAATGAGAATACAGTGTATCATTTTTCAAATATTATTTTAGACATATAAGTAGCCTACTGTAGATTTTCATTTGTCAAATCTTAAGTGAAGTGTATTAGCGTAAAAAAAAAAAAATAGATCATGGTTTTTATATATAGAAAAAAGTAATATAGAATGATGATTAGAAAGAAATATATAATTTAACTTACTAAACTAAATGATTTCCTAATAATTGAGACATATTTGCAGTATTAATTTTAAGTGCAAGTTGGGCCTTTATACAAGAAACTATATGCCTTTTTAATTTTAAATATTTGTTGTCTTTGGGATCTAAAAGATGGAAAGCTCCTTATTTTTCCCAGTGATTTTAATCACTTGCAGTAGGATAGGAACATAGTTGAAACAGACTTTCAGATTTAAATGGGTTTATATTGCACTGAGAGCTTGTGACTCAAATTTAAATCAGATCAGAAAGTCGGGAGCAGAAATGTGTATCATCTCAAATACTTGGACTTCAATGTGCAAACCTGTTGCCATATAAAATTATAAGCAGGGTTTCCGCGGGTCTTAAAAAGTCTTACATCTAGTTGTATCACATTTAAGGCCTTAAAAAGTCTTAGATTGTACAAGAAAGTCTTAATTATGATTTCAGAATCTTCAATTTGAGCTTAAACGTCCTGCAGAAACACTGTATAAGGTTTAGCATGGCACCTCAAATGTCTAACATATTGAATAACGAATTGTTGGAAGTTTAACCTCAGAAGCGTATATATCTTTCCTTCAATTACGATATACTGAACCCAGAATTAGATTGTTTCAGAAGAGTCTTGGTCAATTTCTGGTTCTTCAGAGCAATGTGATGTTTCAGAGGCGTTCGTCTGAGAAGGCTTTGAATGCATGCTTTCAAACGCATGGTGAAGCTCAAATGGCAACAGTATACCAACTGGTTTCAATGTTTGTGCCAGCTGACCTCCACCTTCCCTTCAGTGATGATACGATGACGAGTCGGATCGAGGCCCGTCTCTGAGGATTCTGGGTCAGGCTCACGTTCTGTGCGTCTGACTTCAGTTCCTCAGAGTCAGGTGTCCTCTTAGATTGAAGATGTAGAGGCATTTGTCTGAGAAGGGGTTTTTTTGTCTTTTTTTTTTCCTTCTTGCTGACTAATTCTTGACTTGTCTAATTTTGTAATGTGTTCTTGTGATTTTGTCTGCATATAGGTGTGCTTGGAATCAAGGTGAAAATCATGCTTCCCTGGGATCCCAGCGGCAAGATAGGCCCCAAGAAGCCCCTGCCTGACCACGTCAGCATCGTGGAGCCCAAAGATGAGGTCCTGCCCACCACCCCAGTGTCCGAACAGAAGGGGGGGACCAAGCC